ATCAAACTTTAAAATAAATTCTCTTTTAGCACATTTTCAAGAAAAAGGACAGAAAAAAGTTGACAGGCTACCTTCAACATACATATGTATATACATATACTCGTATATACGATTCTGAGAGTTGGAATTGAATTGTTTGGTCTAATATGACATCACGGTTCGGTCATCACAATGAAAAATTATACGCAAATATCACAATGATAAATCACCTGTCTAGAGGAAAACTATTCTATGTCACAATTTTATCAATATTGTTGAATTGCAAAAACAATTTGCAATGTTCAGGAGAAGATGCAATGTTCAGGAATTAAAGGTCGAAATATAATTTCTAATAACGTGTATTCAGCGTATTCAGCGCGCAACTGACGCATAATATATTATTGCCTTAAATATTTTTCGACGGCTCTTGTGTTTCCTTGAAATTTGAAGCTATTTTGAATATTTCTTTTATTTTTAAAATTTTTGAAATAATTTCTACTCCAGCTGATCTAATTAACCATATATGTATGTATGTAATTTGATTGTTATGTTAAGGTGCAATGCGCAAATTTTTGTTCCTTTCCCACTTGGTGTATGCAAGAAAATTTTCGATTTTACAAGCATAAGCAACAATTTTTTTTTTTGCAAATTCAAATTTGTATTTTATTTTTGAAAATACAAAACTTTCGCAACAAACTTAAAATTCTTATTTGGAATTTAGGGCGAAAAAATAAAACGTAAAAAAAAATTATTATTTTTAAGGTTCTATAACATTTTTAAGTGTGCATGTATGTAAGTAATGCAAAAACTTTTAAAGAAAAGAATGAAAGAAAAATTATAAGAACCATAACTGAAAATATTAAAAATTTTTACTTAAAAGGCAACATTACTTTCACGTTTTCAAAAAACTTTTTTTTTTTTTTGTAAAATTGACCAACATGAAATTTTAAAAAAAAAATTTTTACCAATTTGAACTTCTTGTCTTCTTTTTTTTTGTATTTATTTTACAAGTTTTGTTTTTACAATGGTTCTTTCGAAAATTTCTATTTTCTTTTTTAACTTGACTTATTTTAACACTTTTTTTTTATATACCTATACAAGCTTAAAAGCAAAAAATGAATAAAACGCAAAAAAAAGAAGGAAGTAAAAATTCTGGTTTTTCTTTTTTGTTCCCTTCTTCTTCTTCATTTTTTAATTTTTAATCCAAATTTAATGTGTAAAACAACTTTTTTTATTTTTCTACTTTTTTCTCTCTTAAAATATTTAACCTACATACAAATACAAATTTATTTTTGTTCTTAAAAATATATGTATGTATGTATGTATGTAAATATAGATATAAAAATAATGGTGCAATAAAAATGGCATTGTACCACCTATAATATGGTTGTATGAATGTATAGAGTGTAGATGCAATGCAATTTAAAATAAAACTAAAATTCTATACACTAGAAAGAACTCTTCAGGTTTTCGATTTGAAATGCGAAAACAAGAATTAAGAATAAAAAGAAAATATAACAGTTAAATTGAAATTTTACCAAATTACAATGAAATATTTTGTAACCATTTTTTGTTCTTTATTATAACATTTTGGTTTTACACACAATCAACTTCATAATATAAGTAACATATGTACCTTAGGTACAATTAAATGTAGTACACGACTAAATATTTTTGAGCCCAAATATATGCGCACTAGTACAAAAATAATTACAATAATCAATAAAAATTAAATTCAAGTACTAAAATATTTTTAAAAACAAGTAAAAACGTTTCAGTCGGTATAAACCGATTGAATTATACCCTGCACCTTTCGTTGTTGTATAGTAATTACTCAAACCTGTGAAACCATTCTATAGAAACTTTACGGATATGTTTGACCTATAACAGACACACAACTGCCAAGTTTCATGAATCTGACTTTATTATTTTTCCAAATATTTAAAATTAGCTTTTGGAGTTGTATGGCAGGTACCCGAACCTGTCAAGCAATTCCTCTAAAACTTCAGAAATATATCTGACCTATAATTGGACACATGACTGCCAAGTTTCATGAATCTGACTTTATTATTTTGCCGAATATAAAAAATTTGCTGTTGGAGTTGTATGGCAGCCACCCGAACCGGTGCAGCTATCCCATTATAATTTTTAGAGCATATGTAGAATATAATTGGACACATGTGTACAAAATTTTATATTTGTACCTTTATTAGTTTTTGAAATATTTAAAATAAACTCTTTGAGTTGTATGGCAGCTACCCGAACCTGTCAAGTAATTTCACTAAAACTTCGCAAATATATCTGATCTATAATTGGACACAGAACTGCTAAGTTTCATGAATCTAACTTTTTTATTTTTCCAAATATTTAAAATAAGCTTTTGGACTTGTATGGGAGCTACTCGAACCTACCAAGCAATTCCACCAAAACTTCAGAAATATCTTTAACCTATAATTGGACACACGACTGCCAAGTTTTATGAATCTGACTTTATTATTTTTCCAAATATTTAAAATAAGCTTTTGGCCTTGTATGGGAGCCACTCGAACCTGTCAAGGAATTCCACCAAAACTTCAGAAATATCTTTGACCTATAATTGGACACACGACTGCCAAGTTTCATGAATCTGACTTGATTATTCTTCCAAATATTTAAAATTAGCTTTTGGAGTTGTATGGCAGGTACCCGAACCTGTAGAGCAATTCCACTAAAACTTCAGAAATATATCTGACCTATAATTGGACACATGACTGCCAAGTTTCATGAATCTGACTTTATTATTTTGCCGAATATAAAAAATTTGCTTTTGGAGTTGTATGGCAGCCACCCGAACCGGTGCAGCTATACTATTAAAATTTTTAGAACATATGTAGAATATAATTGGACACATGTATACACAATTTTATATATGTACCTTTATTAGTTTTTGAAATATTTAAAATAAACTCTTTGAGTTGTATGGCAGCTACCCGAACCCGTTGTCCGAATTAGTCCAATAACAATAGGGTTCGTCCTTGGCACAAAAGAAACAACTTGTGAAAGTTTGGTGACGATTGCATTATTCGTTTTTGAGTTATCGTGCGATCGGACGGACGGACGGACGGACGGACGGACGGACGGACGGACGGACGGACGGACGGACGGACGGACGGACGGACATGTCTAAATCGACGCAGAATTTTACGCTGAGCAAGAATATATATATATGTCCATACCGCAGATGACTCCTTCAAGTAGTTACAAACTCCATACCAAAGTTAATATACCCTTCACGAAGTGCAGGGTATAATAATCATCATATTAGTAGGTAAGGTACCATTAAATAAAAACTTAATTATTAATTTAATATTTTTAATTCCAAATGTTAAGAATTGAGGCTGGTTTCTTATTTCACCTAATCTACTATATGTTTCTGTACTTATTTTGTTATTAATCCCATACTCGGGATTAATTAGTTTAAGTTAAACCCAAAAATAGATAAAATAGGTACATATGTACGTATATGGACAAAAAAAAACCAAAAAATCCTAAATACCGACTTATTAATTTCTGTGGCTTATTTCAAAATTTTTTATATTAGAATTTATAAGTATATGTATGTATGTAGTTATATGTATATACCTAAACTACAATAATATACATGACTACATACTATTATTTATTTTAATTTTATTTTTATAATTATTAAATAAATATTAGCAGTTGATAATCTATATTATTGTATACACTATTATTATAATACGTACTAAGTATTTTAATGAAAAATAAAATAATGAACAAAAACAGGTCAAAAAAATTTGTGGTTTTATCATCTTTAAAAACAAAATTCAGAGATCAAATTAAAAAATTATAAAAAAAAATATTTGAATTTTAAGTACGTATAAGATATAGCCTAATAATAATAAAGTTATAATGCAAAATTAGTAATTAAAATGTTTGCATTTATAGCAAGATTATATGACTAGGCCAAATACCTACATATCCAATTTAAATATAAATAAATATTACAGTTTAAGATTGAATACTAAGCTCTATAAATATTTTTTGTGAATAAATGTCGGGAACTTGTAATAGAAAGAAAATGTTTAATTCCAAAAAATTATTTGGAAAAAATTCAAAATATTGAGATGCGTCAATGCACATCCTTACAAATACAACAGAAATTAAATGAGAAATATTTTTTTATTCTCAAAATCATAAATGATCACGAGTATGAATGGATTCAAGTCAAAGAATACTACAGTATGACTATAATATTACAAATTATCAAGGATTACTATAATATAATTGTAAAATTTTTTCTTGCATTCAAGAATTTTAGAGAAGTTTCACCATAAGTTACTTATATAATAAAAATTATAGGCAGTATGGCATCCTTATTTTATTTATAATAAGTACGTTCACATAATATGTAAGTTAAATTTATGATTATTTTTGTAGAAATTCTTGTTGCAAATTCATCTTAAGCACAATATTTACATTTTGGTACTTACGTATACCTATGTACATATATATGTATGTATATGTATAGAAAAATTTCGAGAATGAAAGCTTTATAGTAACCTTGAAATATTATTTAAGTAGGTACCTACCCTACCTAGGTACCTAATGCCTATACCATAAAACTTGAATCTTGTTGAACTTTCATTCAATGTAAAGACAAATACATATACATATATATTTATGTATGTACCTATTCATAAATAAAATAGTTATAATAATTGCTTCACTTATATAACAATTATCTTTTATATAACAGAAACTTGTACAATTTTTAATAAAGCTAATAATATTCATATTTTAAACTTATTCAACAATTTTTTTTTCAGAAACTTTAAAATCCTTTAAATTATTTTCAATCATCCAGAACAGTAAGAATATTTTCTTATATTGAATTGAAATACAAAAAGAAAAATGGAGAATAATCAACAAAAACAGAAGAAGAACAATTACAAATATTTGGAAAAATAAAGAAAAAAAATTTAGGTAGGTAAGATTGGTATGTAAGTAAGTGTATTTACCTTTCTCTGTGCTTCGGCTGCAAATCCTGATTTTGGTGCTCGATTAATAGACATTTTATTCCTTAATTAATTTAAAAACTTTTATATTAAAAAATATTAAATTTGTATAAATGTAGGTAATATTGGAAAAAATCAACGTATACCGCCGACAATTATTTTTTATTAAGAGGCAAAAAAACGTTAAAAATATTTTAATAAAAAACGTTTTTTTATTTTATTTTTTCTTGTTTCTAAATAAATAATCCACGCTATCAAAAGCAAAAAAAACAAATCAAGAAATGTGAAGGCACAAAAAAAATACACAAAATTTTTTTCTTATTTTGCTTTTAATTTTTTAAATTTTTTTTTTGTATTGAAATCAACTCGTCTTCGGCGGATTTTTCTAATTTTCAACAAATTATTAAGTTATTCGTCTTTTAATTTCAACTTTTCTCTGTACACTAAAAATCTTATATTTTCTAAAGTAAACTGAAATTGAAATAGAAACAATAAAATTAAAGAAAAATATAAACAAAAAATTTTTTTTTATTGTTTTTTTTTTTTTTTTTTGCCTTTTTGACAATCAAAAAGTCACATTTTAGTTCAAAAACAAGCCAGGGTTTATTGTTCTAAAAATGTTAACCAAAAGAAATTAAATGGTTTGTGTATTTGCTAAAAAAAATTAGGCTTTACAGCTATGCGTAACCATTTTGTAAGTGCTATACAGAAAAAAAAATTTTGTAGTTTCAGATAAAGCAACTTTTTTGGGGGGCGTTAGTGAGTATTAAGTTTTCAAATTAAAAATTGCATCACTCAAAAAAAGTAATTCTATTGTAATTACAAAAATTGTATCCTGTATATCACTATAAATTATGTACAAAATGGCATAACTTTATTTTTTTAAATAAATTAATAAATTTTTTATAATTTTAAAAGTTTCTATCCTTTCTTTATTCTGTAAAATTTAGAAACTTTTCTTTCATATATATTTTTAGCAGAATAGCGACTTTCACTTGAATCACCAATAGGTCATTTCTAAAAACGTTCTCGTACATACAAATTGCTGTGTTTTCTAATCTCGTCTTATAAAAAGAAAAACTCCGCCAGTATATCAGGTACTAAAAAGCTATATTCGTTTAATTATTATCATCGTCATTGATTAAATGTGTTTCAGTTATAGTTATGATGACATACATATGTACGTTTTTTTTTCAAGTTTTATATTTTATTAAAATAATTTATTAGAAATAGTTAGAAAATTCTGTTCTTTTTTATTTCAATTTTTTTAAAAAGGTTGGACAACTCTAATAGAAAATATTATGAAACGTATTTGAATTAAGTCCCAACACCTTATTGAATCTCATACAGCTAAAACAAGTTATAAAAGAAATTAGTTGTGCAAAATGTTCTATCTGCATTTTTAAAATTAAATTTTAATTCAATTGAACCATTTTGCTGCTCTTGCTGCAGAACTTATCACAATTTTCAAATTTTCTGACGTTTATGAAAATATTTTGAATTTGGAAATTTTTGGAAATGAAATATTTTACTTATGTACATTGTTTTTACGTTTAATAGTTAGCTAATACGGCATTGCTGAATCTAATTTTTTATAATTTGTCTCTTAGAAAAGGTACCAAAAATTGACTTGAACTAAGAACTACACTTTTGTGAAAAATTGTGAAAAATCTCATTTAGACATCTTAAATTTTTAAAGAAACTTAAAGAAAAATATATTTAGATTTATTTGATAAATTTATTTAACAAAATAATTAATATTTTAATGATTGAGAATGGTAATTAAAAATTTTTTTAACATTTTATAGAAAAAAATAAAAAAAAAAACATTTTTAAAATTCGATATCTTCTATTTTTTATACCTAAGAAGTAAAATAGAAACTTAATGATTATCGATACATTTATTTTTATAGTTATTATAACAGAATTAGCTTGAGATTACTTATTTAAGTTACTATCATCTTCTAATATAGTATCTGACAATATTACACGTATTATATGCCTGTTAGTTAAATATTTTGTATCAGTTAAAATATTAACATTGGTATCATCACCTTCTTTTATCAAAAGTCCAATAATTTCAAACTTTATTTTTCGATTATTTTCAGCCAATTCTTTTGAAATTTCTATTAACGAATTTATAAAATCAATTTTAATATTTTTTTTACCGAATTTACCTCGAATTTTTTGTATATTTTTTGATTTTTTTATCCATGATAAAAATTCATTTTCATCAAAATTCTCCTGGTCACAGTAAACATTTAAAAATTCTAATTTTTCCAATGAACAAAGTTTCGTCCAAAAAAGACAATCAGCATTTGTTAAACGATTTATTTCTAATTCTTTCAAATTTTTTAATTGAATTATTGTATCAATATTCAATTCGCTTAATTGCAAATGTTGGCTTACTAATCCAAGATATTCTAATACATTTGCTTTATTTTCAACACAGCTTAATAAAAAATCTTTTAAACCAATATCATCTTTTTCCAATTGCATTAATTGTAAACGAATTTTTTTTAAATTTTTAAAAGTTGGAATTTTTTTTAGAAACGTATTTTCTGGACGATACGATGTTAAATGAAATTCTTCGAGTTCTAAATTAACAAAATTAGAGAAAGGACTTCCTATAGCATCAGCATTACGAATTCCGGTAACTTTTAATGTTTTCAATGGAATTTTTTCTAATATAGGTTTTAAGTTACTTGTTTCTATTTTTTCACAATTATTCAAACATAAATAATTCAATTTTTTCAAATTATGCAAATATTTACCAACAAGTTCCTCATTATCACTCAAATCAAGATACTCCAATTTTTGAAGTTTAACAAATTTTTTAGCTTGTTCATCTGTAACATTACAATTTCTTATAGTAAGATGTGTTATGTTTTTCAGTGATAAAGAAATTTCTTTATTACTGTTACAATATTTTTTATTCAAGTTTTCCAAATGAAGTATTTTTAAATGTGGAAAATATTTAAAAATAAAGTCATAAATACGATTAAATTTACGTATACGGCAATCAACTTCAAGAGTTTCAATAAACTTTCCGATAGTTGTTACGCTTTCATATATTTCCAACAACGACATTCTTGATGTATTTTCTTCATTTAATTTTAAATGCCTTTCATTTTTATATATCAAGAGGAAAATTTTTTTGAAACGATCAGAAAGAATTGACATTCGAACTTGATCTTGAAAAGGCAAATATGAAAATATATTAAATAAGCAATAATCGTTTAATTTTAATATGAAAAAGTTTTCGGTATCATTATCATCAATTTTAAGTAAAGGTTTGAGACGTTTTTTGTGCGGTTGTATCCAACTATCTGCGCCGCGTACCTCTAAAACAACATTACCAACTTTATGATTACGTACACGTAAAGTTTTAGATGCACTCTCAGATTTCAAAAATTTTACTATTGCTCGATATCTATGACCTTCTGCTGTTTTATATTTCTTTTTATACGTTAATGTTTCAACTTTACCAAAGTGATCAAAATACTTTTTCAATTCATCGGAGCTAAAAGTTTCTGGTATATTAGAAATGTATAATGTATAAATTAAAATATTATCTTCAGTGTAGAATTTTCTTCCATGACCACGTATATTGTTTGAACGATCTAAAAAATCAAAAAATTAAAAATAAATACAAATGTTGTCAAGGTTCTTTTAACTTTTCTCCATATACATACATTATCCCATATGCATGAATTCGATATTTTTTTTTAATTAGGAAAAATCATATAACTTACCAACAGTATGAAGATCATGAGCCATATCTAAGAAAGCCTTAAAATGGATTTCAAAAAAGGAAAACTTAAATCTTTTAAGTGGTAAATTAAAGTGTAAATTTTCAGAGCATTAATTTAAGTTTTAAGCAAATTACATGAATCTTATTCTAACCAATTGTTAAAGAATGCGTTCAGAAACTGCCACTGGCATAAAATGATGATGAAATGTCATATGACGATGTAAATAAAACAGGGTTCGGAAAAAATTGATTTGAAGTTTTTAAAAGTCTTCGATCATTACGATACATGGATGGAAGACAATTAAGGTTTTGTATCACATGGCTGTTTTTTGTTTTTGTGTTTAAAAATATTTGAAATAATGTGTATTTCTTTTTATTTATTAATTTTCAATTTATTTGGGAAGTTCTTAATACGATATGCAAAATTTTTTGTTCTTTCTGAAATCTAGATTTTTTTCCAAATTTTCAATTAGAATTTCACAAGTGTTAAAATTTTTTAATAACAGATCTCTTATTCTTGAAAAAGAAGAAAGTACACTAAAGTACGTCAATTATATAATATAATAATAACAACAAAACAAAATCGTGGATCAATTCAGGAATGTAAAGCGCAACAAAAAAAAATTTCTAGGTAACTACACAGCACATGTCACTTAAATGTAGGAATATGCCACACAATGTTGAAATTATAGTCGTTATCATAGTATGATGTACTATACTTAATATAGTACTTAATTAAAAAAATAAGAGAAAAAACTTTGGAAAGCCTAAAATCAATTAGAAAAATGTCTTGAAACAAGTAAACATTATCATTTCAATTTATAATTTCCCGAATAACTTTATCACTTGCGTTCCGTTTTCAAACCAATACTTTAAATAAAAACCAAACATTCACACTGTTTAGTTTTAAATTGAAAAAATTTGAACATATACAGGGCTTAATATTAAAAAATTTTCACAATCAATTAGTAATTGTCAATCGATTAATTCATCCCTGAAACATCATTTTTCTGAAAACATAAGCAAAAAGCAAAAGTTGTGTTTTAAAATAAAAATTAAATATTAAATTAAAAACAGTAGAACTTTTTATAAAATTATATTAAAATTAAATATTTAGAAAACTAAAGCTAATATTTTCATAAACTATTGCAAATAATTTTATTAACTAAAATATATTCTATAAGTGAAATCAATAAACTATTAAAAGCACATTCAACACAAGTTTTAGAGAGGACAAGCGTATAGCGTTATTCATTATATATTTTATATATTTATATCTGACATTAACACCAGAAAATTAAACGCAAAAATTGATCAAATAAAGAGAGAAAACATGAATGGTAAATCTAAAACTCCAACTGTGCCTTTTGATGCACAAGCAAGAGAAAAACTTGCATTATATGTCTATGAATATCTACTACATGTTGGAGCTCAAAAAGCAGCACAAACATTTCTATCAGAAATAAGATGGGAAAAAAATATCACTCTTGGTGAGCCACCTGGATTTTTACATACGTGGTGGTGTGTTTTCTGGGATTTATATTGTGCAGCTCCAGAAAGACGCGATACTTGTGATCACTCTACAGAAGCGAAAGCGTTTCATGATTATGGTTTTGTTAATCCTGTTGGACACACTAATTTCAATGAAATGGGTGCTCATCCTTTCCCCAGTGGTCCGCGATATCCATCTGGACCAAGACCAGGTGTAAGGATGCCCCAAGGAATGGGAGGAGATTTTAATGGACCGCCAGGTCCACAGCAAATTATGCCGAGTAATATGGATTCTATAAGGCAAGGTGGTCCTCCAGGTATGGGTCCAATGAACCCAAGAATGAATCCGCCGCGTGTACCAGGAATGGGTCCTATGGGTCCAGGTTATGGACCAGGAGGAATGCGCGGTCCACCTCCAAATAATAATTTAGGGCCAGGACCGTCTATGCCGCCTGGTATGGGTATGGGTGGAAGTAGGCCGCAGTGGCAGCCAAATTCATCGACACCAATGAATTATTCATCACCATCACCTGGAGGCCCTCAAAACTACGGAGGTCCTCAAAATTCTAACGGTCCACCAGGACAGGGATCGAATATTATGCAATCACCTCAAGATTCTTCAAACCACGGTGGCGATAATATGTATCCAATGATGAAGCAAGGTGGTAATATGGGCGGTGGTGACTTTTCAATGGGAGGTGGTCCAGATGGTGGTCCTATGGTGCATATGGGACCAAACTCTATGATGGGCTCAATGGGTCCAAATATGGGCTCAAATTCTTCTATGGGTTCTATGGGCGGCCCTAATGCAATGAATTCAATGGGCCCTAATTCAATGAACGGTGATGGATTAGACGTTATGAAGAATTCGCCAGCTACAGGTCCAACAACACCGCGAGACGATTCTAGCAGTGGAATGGGAGATTTTATAGGCAGCTTTGGTGGACCTGGTGAGAATAATAATCCAGCATCCTTATTTTTCTAGTAATTTACAAAATCGTATTTATAATATTAAAAAGTAATTTGAATCACTTTATTTCATTATTTTGCTCATACATACATATTGTACTTATTTAAAAGCAAAAAAAATCTTTTGATTTTCTTTCGTTAGTAGGACCGATTTTTTTTAACTTTTAATTTATATGGAATATTTATCTTTTATTCGTTTACAACTGTCAATTATTTTTAAGCTAATAATACTTATTATAATATAATTAACTAAAAATAAAAATATTTTCAAAATTAAATTATAATTTTTTGAGAAAATTTTAGATTTTAGATATTTAATAAATTCGAAGTTGTACATTCTTCGATTTAGATTTACGTGACTATGTTCAATTCAAAGAAGAAGTAAAAATTCAGTTTGTTGATAACTGGAACTGAAAACACTTAACAATGCAGCATTTTATCAAAATGAATGACTTTGAGTTTTATTTTTTAATTCAAGTCTGTGGTAGCACTAATTTGCTACGTAAAAGAAATTCTGTATGGTCACACCGCAAGTTTATTTAATTAATATGACTATTGGTCACACTGCAATAATACATAAATCAATTTTTGTTTATTGGGTGATAAATGTCAAACAAAATTCAACAGCTGTGGTCAATATTGTACTCAATTCACGCGTGCGATTGAAAAACAAAATTAATACCGCCAAAAAACCGGCATATAAATTGTGCCGTATCAATAAAACTTTTAAAATTAAAAAAAAAAGAATAAAATTTTTTTTTGAAATTTACATACATAAATTTTGTAAGATAATTCAAATAAGTTAAATATGAGAGGGATTCCAGCAAAAAGAATAAAATATAGTTTGGATATACCTCAAAGACCGAATGTTATTGGTACATTACTTGTTTGTGGTCAAGGTGAAGTTGGGCAACTTGGTCTAGGAGATGAAAATGAGAGAAAACGACCTACTCCTGTCCAATCAGTAAAGGATGTTGTGGATATATGTGCTGGTGGCATGCATAGTATGTGTCTTACTAAAAACGGAGATATTTATTCATTTGGTAAGTATCGAAATTGATATTGAAAATTTATTTATTAAAAGAGTGATTTTGAAAGTATTTTTGAATATTTCCAATCTATTAAGTTATTTCTTTTCCTATTCATTTGATCTTTGATACAAAAGTACTTTTCTCAAACAAGTATGTGTAATCGATTTTCGTTCTATTTTTAGGATGCAATGACGAAGGCGCTTTGGGTCACCCAACAACAGAGGAAGGTTCCGAATTAGTCCCAGGAAAAATTGATTTACCAGGTAAATCAGTAAAAATTTCCGCGGGAGATTCGCATTCTGCATGTCTATTAGAAGATGGTCGTGTATTCGCATGGGGAACATTTCGTAATTCTCATGGTGCAATGGGTTTAACTATGAATGGAATAGAACGCTTACCAATTGAAATTCTACCAGGGGTTAAATGTTGCGATATAGCATCAGGTGCGGACCATTTAATATTACTAGCATGTGATGGAAAAGTTTTTACAATGGGCTCAGGAGAACAAGGGCAATTGGGCAGAATTTCTTTACGTTCTGCAGCTGGTGATTCAAGACAAGGGAAAAATGAACTCTTAAAACCAGCTCCAATAAGTATTAGCAAAATTAATCGATGCGATGGTATATGGGCAACCACTTCGTGCACATATTTAAGGAAATATGATTCAACAGAAGTTTTTGCTTTCGGCTTAAATAATTATCATCAGTTAAGTTTAAAATCTGCTAAAACAAAAGGCCCTCCAGAATTAATAATAAATCCAGTTGAAACAAATTATAAAGATGTAAAGAAAATTTGTGGTGGTCAACATCATACATTATTGTTAACTAACGATGGTAAAGTTTATGCAATTGGTCGTCGAGATTATGGTAGATTAGGGCTAGGAAACCTACAAGATGATGTGAATGAACTAAAATCTATAGAAGCTTTTGAAAAATTGAAAATTATTGATATTGCTTGTGGTGAAGCTCAATCATTTGCTATTGCAGAAAATGGAACTGTATATGCTTGGGGCATGGGAACAAATTTACAACTTGGTACCGGAAATGAAGAGGATGAGGAACAACCTGTTGCAGTCGTTAGTAAATCATTACAGGACAAACGAGTTATTCGAGTCGACAGCGGTGGCCAACATAGTTTATTTTTAGTTTCTGACGCCAACCATAATAATAACTATCAAAAAAGTGTAGAACCAGTTGTTAATAGTACAACCACGAACGAAGTCACTGAAAATGCAACAGTAACAAAAGTGAAAGGTCGTAAAAGGAAGGCTCAATAAAAATAATTAAATAATTTTTATTATAAGATAAAGCGTTTTTAAAAAAAAATTTAAATTACTTAACTTTGCTTACTTAAATTCCTCATCATTTTAATAATCCATAAAAATGTTTACGTTAAAATTATGCAACGTTTTTTTCCTTTTATTGTTAAGAATTTATTTTGATTTTGAAATTTATTAATAAAATAAATAATATTAAAATTTTGTTATTCAAAAAAAAAAGAGAAAGATATTAATTAATATAGGTATTTGGTGAGGATAAGAAATAATGTTTTCTTTTAAAATAATCTGACTTTTGTTTAAAAAAAAATATGTGAAAAACAATTGGAATTAGTTTTAATATGAAATATGAATCATTCAACCTTTTGTTAACGATATTATAACTTTATATACCTCGTAGAAAAACTAATTAATTTATTCATTTTGTATTAAAACCCTTTAGGTGTATGTAGTCTTTTTGATTGATAAGTTTCAGTAAATGTAAAAAATGATTTTAAGTAAAATAAAATGTAAACTCTTTGTAAGTCAATAAAATATGAAATAAACATATTTTTCCAAAAAAAAAAAATAATAAAAAAGCATTCTTTAGATTTCTGTAATAATCTTGCAATATCAAATAACTGATAGATTATCACTTTGACCTACATATTATGTATATATGTACATACTTAAATACATTAAATCAACAAAAGTCGCTTTTAAACTTTTTTAATAAAGTCTGGACGTATAGAAACTTTAACCAATAAGTTCCCAATCTTGAAATTGTTAAAAATTCCAAAATGTACTAATGACAAGTTATGAAGGTATTAGATGGGCACAGGATTTTCGATAAATTAGACATGCATTTCTACAATTTTAACTCGAAAATCTTTTGCATAATTACGGGTACAAATTTGCAAAAGCTTTGGTTTATTTGTAATATCTGCATCAGTTATAAACAAACATGCATACATTTATAAGTCATCTAGATACATTTACAATAAATTCTAAAATCTTTTAATAATGAATGCACATATTGCTTAAAAAACCCAGCTGATATTGCGCAAAAAACCGACGCAATTTAAATCCCTCGCTTATTAACCCCTTCAGTATAAGAATCTATCAGTCGTACACAACATTTGAACATAAATAATTAATGAGGTAACTTTTGAATTACTAAAGAAAAATTGTTTGTACTCACACATTAACATTTTTCGTATTACGTTATGCGTTTTTTTTCGAAATTCTCTTCTTACTGTTTGCAACCGCAAATTCACTCTTAATTAAGTAATTTTTCAAACGAAAGACATTTCATGTAATTTGTGCTTTAAACACAAAATGCTTTAGAGTTGAATTCTTGATGTTACTTAATTAATAAAATAATGTTATAACGAAAAAAAAAATATTAAACTTCAAAATTCAGTTTTCTTAAATGTATAAATTTTTAATTATATCGGTATTGCAGCAAACGAGTGATGGTAAGTTACTTTTACGATACTATCGGGTAAAAAGCTCACAAAAATTTGAGAGCAAGTAATTCTATGTACACAATAAATTTGTAATGAAAGATATTAAAGAGATTTTCTGAATCATGATCTAAAGTGGTTAAATAAATATGTACACACTTTTATTTTGACAGAATAATTTGTAAATAACAAACAATACAATTTTTTTCTACAGTCTACAGTCTGATTATTTGCTGCAACCTTCAATCGATATTATTATTATATCTACACACACACACATTGTTGTTAATTATAGCAATATAAATATACGTATTTATATATGTAAATGTATTAATATTTATTTATGACATAGAAGAAAGAGTTGGTATAAATTTTTTTTCGAAAATAAAAAATTAGAAAAACAGTACAAAAATGGAAAATAGGACAAAAAAATAATAATGAGAAAATTAATAAGAATAGTGTAGTTATAAATTATGATAACTTATTAGTAGAAGAAAAATTTGTAATATAAAAAATTTATTTAATGTTTTTTTTTTTTAGTATATATTGAAAAGTTGTATTGAATTGTTTTTTATATGTTACATACATATAAGTAAAATATACGAAATAAAATTAAAACGAGTTCAATGAAGCAAATCAAAGAGTATTTTATAACATTAATAAAATACTCCCTACACCAATAACAATAATAGTTGGATAATTTGAATATAATAGCTAATTAGATTTAAGTATCTACTAATACCTATATATATACCTATTAATTTTAATACAAGTAATGTTTGCACAAAGAATTACCCAAGTTTTATCATATAATTTAGATAAAAATTTATTATTCTCATTATTACGTAAGGAAATTTTGCAAAAAAACCTTCAAAAATTTGTGATAAAATCATTAACCCTTAATTCAATGACATTGGTAGCTTCTAAGGCGACTATGTATCATCATCCTTTTATTGCAAAAACAAAATCTATTTTAGAATTAAAATTACCAATAACAAAAACAATAATAAAAATATTTAGAAAATCTACTGTCACTTCAAATTGCTATCGCGTATTTTCAATATCATGTGGTTATCAAAACGCTTATATTAGTAAAAATTATAATTGTAATTTTTTAAGCAGTAATTCTCCAAAACCCTTTCTTGGATATTCATTAAATAAAAGATATTATTCCCGTTACGCAGCAAGTACAATAATGCCACATAATACGTTTAATTTAAATAATTATGATATAATTGGTTTTGATTTGGATGGTACTTTATTAAGATACAATTTGGATGCAATGGTTACAATGGAATACAATATAATTGCTAAATATTTAGTTGAACATAAAAATTATCCAAAAGAATTATTAAAACCGATTGATAATGATATTGATTTCTTACAGAAAGGTAAGTAGCTATATTCGTTATATTACCTTTAATCCACATAATCTGATTTCATTTTATATATTAATTCAAATAATATAAAAACAGTGTTGAAATTTAAATTTACTTAATAATTTAATATTTATTTCATTTTAGGTTTAATATTAGATGCTGTACGCGGAAATATTTTAAAATTAAGTTTTGATGGTGTAATATTAAAAGCAACACATGGAACTAAACTATTAAGTGAAAATGATATAAAACGAATTTATGGTGAAGAAAAAAAATGGGATTTAACGACTCAATATATTAATGATCCATTATCTGCATGGAATGGTCCTAATGCTGATAAATTACGAGCATTACTTGATTATTTTGATATGCCAGCATCATTAGTTATGGCAAGAGCTGTAGATTTAATAAATGAAAAACATAATAGTTCACATTTATCCGAATATAAAATATGGCCAGACATTTTAGATGCTCTAGTTTTTATGTATAAAAGAGAAAATTTTGCTTCTGGTTTTGGAGAATATTTTGAAGAATTAAAAAATAATCCAAATAAATATATTCATAAATCGGACCCATATATTATTAAATGGTTACAAGAATTAAAAAAAACTAAAGCAATATTTTTATTAACTGGATCAAATATTGATTTTGCAAATTTAACAGCAAGTCATGCTTTAGGTCATAATTGGCGTAATTTATTTGATGTTATTATTGCATTTGCAAAAAAACCTGGTTTCTTTACAATGAATCGACCATTCTATAGTTTTCAAGGTGGTGAAGAAGATCAAATTATACCTGATAATTCAATTAAAATGGGTAATGTTTATGCTCAAGGTAATTGGAAAAGTGTTGAAAAATTATTAGCTAAAAAATTTGGTAAGACAATAAAAAAACCACGTAGTTTATATATTGGAGATAATTTAATACAAGATGTATACACTCCATCGAAATATTGTGAGTTAGATACAGTTTCATTAGTTGAAGAATTAGAAGAGCATGAATGTCAAGATGGTTATGCATTTAAGAAAGTAATTCAATCTAGTTTGTGGGGCTCATATTTTTCAATTGACAATAAACCTACATATTGGAGTGAAGTTATTAAAAAGCATTCGAAAATGTGTTTACCAACTATTGAACATTTATGTCAACATCCACTCAATTATGAGTATCAATGTTCAAGTACAATAACAGAATAAGGTTTCTTTTGAAGACGTATATAAATTATTCAAAAGAAAACTAAGTGTTTTACATTTTACTATAAATAAAACAATTAATTATGTTTTATTCATAATTTGTTAATAGTTAATAAAAGTATTTTAAATATCAATACCTTTTGAAAGTTGCCTTAAATAAAGCAATTTAATGTGTTGAAAATTCTATGTTGAATAATAGGAAATAATATTTTATAAATTATTGATTTTTAGTTTAACATTATTTACCTACATGGTTGTATTCAGTTTTAATTCATTGTTTTGTAACATTTGGATACAAAAGATTTTTTAAATTTTATTGAGTCGAAAGTCAAATGTTATTTGGTTTATTTTGGTGTTTTCTTTTTAACGAATTTTTTGTAAGAATTTAAATTTTTAACATTTGTATATAAATAAAATTGAACAATATTGGCTATAAATACAATATATGTAAATTATTCAAAATTTTGTGTATTATTTTTTTAATAAAAGTTGTAACATAAATATTGAGATTTCCTCTTCTACTTCTGAAGTTTTTAATAAAAGCAGCGAATTTGCAAATATAAATTTTTATTTTTAAAAAAATAATTAGATTAACAAATACAAAATTTTTTAACATACTTATGTACGTGTAATATTTAATATATAAAAAACAACAATATAAATTTTTAAGCATTTAATTATGGTACACATTTGTTCAATAGTTTTTAACTATTTGTGAAAATAAATATTATGTAGGTATAATGAAAAACGAATGCATACGATGAAATTTTATAAAGAATATAAAATTATCACCCTAAAGCAGGTGACAAATTATTTTTTACAATTATTTAATACTATTTGAAATTGATAATTACATATTTGAAATTTATAAATTGAAATTTTTTCATAATATAAAAAAACTTACAAAAAATCAACAAATAAAAAAGGAAAATACTATGTATATAATGCTGCGAAAAAAAACAACGAAAAATACTTCTTTTAATTATAAATAATTAAACCATTTCTATTGCCATTGCTATTCCCATTCCACCTCCAATACATAGAGATGCAATACCACGCTTTCCGTTTGTTCGCTGCAACGCATGTATTAAAGTTACAAGAACCCTGTTACCCGATGCACCAATTGGATGTCCTAATGCAATTGCACCACCCGAAATATTTACTTTTGCGGTATCTACATTTAAACCTCTATTTACGGCAATAGCTTGAGCAGCAAATGCTTCATTTAATTCAAATAAGTCAACACTATCTTTTTCCCAGCCAGCCTTCGAAAGCTACAATTGTTGTATAGTTAAAAAATATAACACATTTATTGAATTATTATAAGTGAATGTTAAACCTACAACATATTCTACAGCACTGACTGGTCCAAAACCCATTATTTCCGGTTCCATACCACTTTGAGCCCAAGCAATTATTTTTGCTAAAGGTTTTAAATTACGTTTTGCAACTTCTTTTCCAGACACTAATAAAACAGCTGCTGCAGAATCATTAATGCCAGATGCATTTCCAGGTGTTACTGTTCCATCATTTTTGAAACACGGTTTTAATGTTGCAAGATTTTCAACTTTAGTGCCATGTTTTGGAAATTCATCATCTGCAAATGTAATATCTCCTTTCCGACTTTTTATTATAACAGGCACTATTTCGTTTTTAAAATAACCATTTTTTTGGGCATTTTCTGTTAACTGCTGTGATTTACAAGCATATTCATCCTGCTCCTGCCTAGATATTTTATATTTTTCAGCTAAGTTTTCTGCAGTTATTCCCATATGTATACATTTCATAGCATCAGTTAACCCATCATTTAACATTGTGTCAACGAAATTTGCATTACCCAATTTTACACCATCTCTAAGATGCATTACATGGGGACTTAAACTCATATTTTCTTGTCCTACACAAACAGTAATGTTTGAATCTCCACATCGAATAGACTGATACCCAAGTACAACCGACCTAAAATATAATGGCTGATTGTATTTATGAATTAATATTTAAATGATTGAAATATACTTTAAACCAGATCCACAAAGCATATTTATCGTATACGCTGGCACTTCAATAGGTAAACCAGCACCAAGACTTGCTTGTCGAGCAGGGTTTTGGCCCTGTCCGGCAGTTAAAGACTAAAAATTGTAAGTATGATGAATAAAAGTTTACATATCTAATTATTATAAAAATAGATCTTTAATAATAAGTTTACTTACTTGACCAACAATAACTTCATTTACATCTTTCGCTTCAATATTTCCACGTTTCAATACATCTCTTATTACAATACTACCTAATTCAGAAGCTTTCAATTTTGATAAAGTTCCATTAAAATTTCCTAAAAAAGAAAAGAGTCGAAGAGAAAGCTTGAATATTTTAATTTATTCAATGTCATTGTTATTCAATTTACTTAAGTTAAATAAATAATTTAAACAAATAAATTGTTTACATTACATTAGTGATGCATTACACAACAACGTGAAAAAGCTTTTGCATAGCACGTACGTATGTACATTTTTAATTAGCTTAATTCATTAAAGAAATTTTACCCACTTTTCCAATAAGTACATTGGTATACTTACGTACTAATATTAAAATTTCTATAATTACCTATAGGTGTTCTCACGGCAGAAACAATGTATACATCAGAATCGCACATTCTTATTTTAATGTTTTTAATTTTTATTTGAAATTATTTAAAAATAATTAATTAATGTTCAACAAAATTTAAAAAATTTAAAACATAACCAACTTATAGAAAGATCTAAGGGCAAATAAATTTAGTTGGCAATGTAACAAAACAAATGTGTATGTTGAGTAAATTAAAGTGGGATATACTCAAAGTGTTGCCTTCCTACTTTTCAAGTGATGTATTTATAAATTTAAAAACTACATCATTGACAGTCCATCTAGTTTTTTTTATATATAACTAAAAGATAAGAAAATTAGACGTACTATGTTTATTAAAAATTAATAGTTTAATTAATGCCTTAATAATCAGTGACTGCTATTAATTTAATAAACAGAATTTATATAAAATTCGTATATGCATAATATATGCTTTTTTCATGCTTCTGTATGAAACTTTTCTGTTTACGTTCTTCGTTTTTCCTCGAGAAAAGAAAAATTAATATTTTAAAGTATCAACGTACTTATTTACAAATATTTAAACATTACATAAGATGAGAAATCAAAAAAAAAGATTACAACATCCATTTCTAACATTATGTAGTGCTCGAAAAATGGCTATTTAGATATTTATCTCTTCATTCTCTTTTTTATGTCTTTTATTAACAGTTTTAAAAACTTTTTACTTGAGCTCTTACATTGTTGCGAATAAAAGTTATTAATCGAAATATCCCATATTTTGAAAAACTGCAAAAACAAAAACTTTTTCGTTTCATGAACCTAGTTTATTTACATTTTCATATAATATATACGTATCCATATAACACAACGTTATACTAATGATAGGCAAAATACAAATTTATAATATACATATATATTGATCCAAACTCAAATTTTCTCAGAAAGTGATTTTTGGAAATTGTCGTTTTTGATTAAGGATATTTCTTGGTTAGAAAAAATTTCGAAAATTGGTTGCTTAGCAATTTAAGTTCGTTAGTAACACATACATAAATTTATAAACAAAAATTTTGATTAACAGCTGATAATAAATTGACGTCTTCTATCTGCAGTTGTCGCGTTGGCAAAATATGCGGCACTACAAATTATGTATGATTATAAAAAAAAAATCGAAGTACACGTCATTTTTGACAGTTTTATAGATGCTTTAATTTTTTAGTTTTCTGAATGTGTTGTTTGGTTTTAGTAAAATTCAAAAAAAAGAAATTGTAAAATATTTAAAATAAATCCGAAAACAATGACATCCATGATAGAAATCCCTCTTAGGGATACAGATGAAGTAAGTATTAAATATTATTTTGAAGTATTTAAATAATTGAGCCAAATTTAGGTTATTGAACTTGATCCTGAGCAATTGCCTGAAAGCCAAGAAGTACTGGGCATACTTAGGCAGGAGCGTTCTCAACTGAATACATGGGTATCAGTAGCAGTAAGTATAATAAATAAAATAAAATTTAAAGAAAATTGCTAATCCTGTTTATTGTATTGTATTGCTATTGAAATTAGTTGGCATACTATAAGCAAAAGAAAACTGCTGATTTCATCAAAATTTTGGAAGCTGCCCGCATAGAAGCAAATGTAGATTATCGTGATTATGAGAAAGATCAAATGAGAGCCTATGATATGCTTGCTGCATATTACGTGCAGGAAGCGAATCGAGAAAAATCAAAAGATAAAAGAAGAGATTTATTTCTAAAGGCAACAAATTTATATACAACAGCTGACAAAATTATTATGTATGATCATGTAAGTTAAATACTAAAATAAGAGAGTGATACAAATATTTTATTTATTTTTATATATACAAATATTTTTTCATTTTAGAATCATTTACTTGGCAGAGCATACTTTTGCTTACTGGAAGGTGATAAAATGGAACAGGCAGATGCTCAGTTCAATTTTGTGTTAAATCAATCTCCCTCAAATATTCCGTCTTTATTGGGTAAAGCTTGCATTGCGTTTAACAAAAAGGATTACAGAGGAGCATTAGCATTTTATAAAAAGGCATTGAGAACCAATCCTAATTGTCCTGCCGCAGTTCGATTAGGAATGGGTCATTGCTTCTTAAAAATGAATAATCAAGAAAAAGCCAAGTTAGTAAAGAAATTAACTTTTTTAAAGAATAATTTAATGATTTAAATAATTTTAGATTGGCATTTCAGCGTGCACTTGAACTTGATCCAAATTGCGTTGGAGCCTTAGTAGGTTTGGCGATTTTAAAATTAAATCTTCTAGAGCCTGAATCTAATCGAATGGGTGTACAAATGTTGTCAAAAGCATATACAATTGATTCTACTAATCCAATGCTGTTAAATCATTTGGCAAATCATTTTTTCTTCAAAAAAGATTATCAAAAAGTACAGCATCTTGCATTACATGCATTTCATAATACAGAAAATGAAGCAATGCGTGCAGAAAGTTGTTATCAGTTAGCAAGATCGTTTCATGTGCAACGAGATTATGATCAAGCTTTTCAATATTATTATCAATCGACACAAATTGCTCCAGCCAATTTTGTTTTGCCACATTTTGGTCTCGGTCAAATGTATATTTATCGTGGTGATTCAGAAAATGCAGCACAATGTTTTGAAAAAGTATTGAAAGTACAACCAGGAAATTATGAAACAATGAAAATTTTAGGATCTCTTTATGCCAATTCTAATTCACAAACAAAACGTGATATGGCTAAAACACATTTGAAAAAAGTAACTGAACAATTTCCGGATGATGTTGAAGCTTGGATAGAATTAGCTCAAATATTAGAACAAAATGATTTACAAGGATCATTAAATGCATATGGTACTGCAACAAGTATACTTAAAGATAAAGTACATGCTGATGTGCCAGCTGAAATACTTAATAATGTCGCTGCTTTGCATTATCGTTTAGGAAATCTAACTGAAGCTAAGAAAAAATTAGAAGAAGCGCTAAATCGTGCCAGAATTGAATCACAACATGATTCACAATATTATGATTCAATTTCTGTTACAATGACTTATAATTTGGCAAGATTAAATGAAGCAATGTGTTCTTTTGATACAGCTGATAAATTATATAAAGATATTTTACAACAGCATCCTAATTATATAGATTGTTATTTGCGACTGGGATGTATAGCACGTGACAAGGGCTTAATTTTTGTTGCATCAGATTTCTTTAAGGACGCTTTGAAAATTAATACGGAAAATCCTGATACAAGGTACGTAATATAATTTTATTTAATAAAAAAAAAAAATGAAATTTTAGTGAAAGATGTTGAAAATATTTTTTTTATTCAAAAATTGAATTTATTTAACTTAAGCAACGCTTTAACATTTTTAATATTAAAAAGTGTGAAATATTGCGAAGTTGACGAGTTTCCTTTCAAAATTATTCTATATCTGAGATAGTCAACGTTTCTTTTTTCTTCCTCTAATTATAATACTAATTCTTTCATCAATACAAGGACAACGTGGATTCGGGCGTATTCCGCCAGGTAAACAAACCACTGGTACAGCTGGACATATAACTAGTAGAGTACTGTTTATTGGCTGTTGATATATCCTTATTTTATTACAAATCGCCTGGAGGTTTCCTATATATGAATAGGATAAAAGTGGTATTATATAAAGTTTTAAGCATAAATGTTCTACTCCCATTTTTCAAGTTTTAAAAATACGAGTATATGTATATATATATGCGCGAACAAATTTTATATATTTGACTAACTCGATGCTATCAAAAATCAATCCTTATATATTTTTGAATGCTTCACCTGAATTAATTTATTCAAACTAACAAAAACATTATGTTTCATAATTATTGCTATTCTGATGAAGCTGTGTGTAACACAATTTATGTAGGTCATACAATTAATTTGTATAGGGCGTTCACGTAGAAATTAATGGTTTTTAACGAATATATTAAAGAAAAATCAAGGTTAAAATGTAATTGAAAAGTTAAAAAGCGTGTAATTGATTGCTTCTAAATTTAGAATAAATAAATAAAAACTATGAATAAAATTTAATTCTTTTTTCATTATAGATCTCTTCTGGGAAATCTTCATTTAGCAAAAATGCAATGGATATTAGGGCAGAAAAATTTTGAATCTATTTTAAAAAATCCAACAACATCTACAGATGCTTATTCAATGATTGCGTTGGGTAATTTTTGGTTACAAACACTCCATCAACCAACAAAAGACAAAGACAAAGAGAAAAAACACCAGGAAAAAGCTTTAGCAATTTATAAACAAGTATTTTAAAATAATTACAATTACATTATTAAACCTTTTTTTTTATATTGTTAATTATATTTTTAAAATTCTCTTGTATTTTGTTTTGTTTGTGAAGGTTTTACGTAATGATCCTCGAAATATTTGGGCAACTAATGGAATTGGTTCTGTTTTAGCCCATAAGGGTTGTATCAATGAAGCTCGTGATATATTTGCACAAGTTAGAGAGGCAACAGCTGATTTTTCTGATGTTTGGCTTAATATTGCACATATATATGTGGAGCAACGGCAATATATAAGTGCAATTCAAATGTATGAAAATTGTTTAAAAAAATTCTATAAACATCATAATGTTGAGTTGATGCAATATTTAGCAAGAGCTTATTTAAAAGCTGGTAAATTAAAGGAAGCAAAAGTTGTTTTACTAAAGGCTCGTCGTGTTGCTCCACATGATACGGTAAAGTATTTGAAAATTGTTATAGTTATGCATAAATTATAGTGAATAAAATAAAATTGTATTTTATATCTTAAAAAAGGTACTTTTGTTTAACATTGCTCTGGTTCTGCAAAGACTTGCCATGGCTATTTTAAAAGATGAAAAATCAACTTTAGTTGTTGTCTTACAAGCTGTACACGAACTGGGTTTAGCTCAAAAGTAAAACCAATTTTAAAATCAGTATTTATTACTTTTCAACTTTTATTTTACTTTTCTTTACTTTTTTGTCTCGTAGATATTTCCAGTATCTATCAGTCAATGGAGATAAAACCCGGTATAACATTGAGATAGCAGCTATAGAAGCGAATCAGTGTCAGGATCTGTTGTCACAAGCCCAATATCATGTATCGCGAGCTCGTCGTATAGATGATGAGGAGAAGAATTTACGTCGTAAACAGGAAGAAGAGCGCCTCGCATTCAAGCGTCGACAAGAAGAAGAACGTCGTCGCATGGAAGAAGAGAAGCTCAAAACAAGGGAAGAAATGTTATCTAAACGCCAGGAATATGTTGAAAAAACTAAGAGTGCGCTTCTGTTCTCTGAACCACCACCAGATGCAAGAAAGAAAGGTATTTTAAATAATAAATTTTATTTAAGTTTTTCGTATGAAATTGTTCTCCTTAAATGATTTTTTTTATTTGTTTTAGGTCGTAGTCGGAAAGATGATATTATATCTGACTCTGGTGGCAGCGATGATGAAGGCCCAGTTGGGGACGGTGAACAAAAGAAAAAACAAAAACGTGAACGAAAGAAAGGGGGTGGTCGGGGACGTAAAAAGAGAGAACATGGTGAAGGAGGTGGTGACAGTGACGACGATCATCCGAAACAAAAACGTCAACGTAAAACTGGAGGTGGTCAAAGGGGCCGTCCAAAACAAAAGGAAACAGAGAAAATGTCAGCCAAACAAAAACTGCGAATTGTGTCTAAAGCTGTTATCTCGACTAGTGAATCAGATAGTGATTCTGATGGTGAGGGTGCAAGCAGTAGCAAGAGACCCCGAAAAATCACATCTGATGATGATAAATCTCGCTCAAAATCACGTTCAGTATCCAGATCAAAATCTAGATCACGTAGTGGTAGTCGTTCGATTAGTCGAAGCCGTTCAAGAAGCGGCAGCAGATCTGACAGTCGAAGCAGGAGTAGATCGGGAAGTGGTAGTCGTTCCGGCGGCAGTAGAAGCAAAAGTCGTTCTAGAAGTGGCAGTCGTTCTGTCAGCAGAAGTAGATCTCGTTCAAAAACTGGTAGTAGAAGCCGTTCGCGCTCGAAAAGTGTCAGTAGAAGTCGATCTCGATCTAAAAGTGGAAGTAGAAGTCGTTCAAGAAGCCGAAGTCGTTCAAGAAGTCGAAGTCATTCTGGTAGTAGAAGTCGTAGTCGTTCAAAAAGTCGTAGTAAATCAGCCAGTAGCCATAGCCCTAGTCGAAGTCGTAGCCGTTCAGCTTCGAAATAACTTTTTAAACTGGAGAAATACATATTATGCAGAAAGAAAATCTTTAAATTTGAAATTTATTTCTATTTAATTATTAGTAATATTACATATATATATATATAAAAAATGTAAAATCATTACACACATTCAACTTTATACCACAATACATAATTTAAAAAATTTTTATTTTTTTGCTATAAAGCGCATTTGTTTCAACCATTAACATCAAATGCAAAAATTTAAAATGTCTTGTGTTTTAATAATTTTTAACAACATAGTATAAAATAAATAAGGAAAATTGAAAAAAATTTAAATTTCATATTACATTTTTTTTTTACATTACATAATCAAATTCCTTTCGTTATAGTTTTCATTGTATTATTATTTAAAAAGAAAAAAACGAAAATCAACAATTTGTTGTATTAAAAATTTAGGTATTTTCCTTTTTTTATTGTTCTACTATAGTTTAATGTTTATACAAGGCTAAAACCATGAGTTTGTTGAATTGCTTGCAGGAGTTTATACTTTAATCTCTCTTTTGTCTGGTAACGAGGTAGATCTAATAAATTGAAACAGGTATGAGCTACCGGCAAACGTTTGTCATCACTTGTGGGCTGTATAAATATCTAAAATTCAAGTAAAATAAATATTTCAGAAGATTTTAGTATTTGAATATTTAGTACTTTAATTCCTTTCATTCCTTTAATTGGTATTCTATCACTTCCGGTTAAAAATAATAAAAATTTTTTCTTTTCCGTTAAAGGTAATTCATGAAATACTTCCCAAAACCATTGTACCTAAAATCAATCATAATTATCAGTACTTTTTTATAATCAATGTTATGATTAATAAATTATTTACCGTTTGGTCACTTGAAGCATATCCGTTTTTATATTCTGCTTCAGATTGTAATACATGCCAGTCATAATCTTCATTTCCTACAACTACAGCCATTAACTCTTCTGGTTCAAACAATGATAAAACTGGACCACCACAAACCTTTTTCATAATAAAAAAAATTAATAATCTTTTTTTTCTTATGTTTTATATTTTTTGTTCAAACACTAACTTTTATGAATCCGGTGTGGAAGGCTTCGTATTGTTTTTCAACGGATTTATTAAAAATGAAATCTATATATAAATTAACAAATTCGTCTCTAGAAAATATTAATTTATAATAAATATCGGTTCGAAATGGAAAATTAAAAAAAAAAAAATTACTTATTTTGTTGTGTAACAGGTATATTTTCTCCATCAGGTTTTAATGGAAACACTTTTACTTCGCCGAATATATCTCGTGTTATTTCAAAATTTAAACCAAAAATATCTTGTAAATCATCTTCAGTATAATCTAATAATTGTTGTAGAGAATTTGCCATGGTAGGTGATAAGTCACGCAAATCTGATAAATTAACTGGTTCCTTGAGAAGCTACGAAAAAGAAATTTAATAGAAAATTGGTTTACTTTTTTGAACAATAATATTAATCAAAAATTAATATATACTTTTTTATAAAGTGCTAGTGGGAATGGTAAATCTATGATAGTAAAATTATAAATAGCTAAACCACAAATTATTCCAATTAATAAATACATATCATCAACTTCAAACGAGCAATCAGAAAACCATATTGTCCTGGTCTCTTCGAATTCTTTAAACATACCTTGAAAATTTAAAAATGGTTTATATTAAAGAAATATTTACAACATTTCTTAGAAAGAGAAACAATACCATATTTCGGATCTATTATTTCTCTTAAAAGCAACATAAAGAATTCTTTACGTACTCCACCAGCATCTTCCGCTTCTTCACCACAGAATTTTACCTTAAAAATTAATACAAAACAAAATATAAAATTTTATTTATCTTTTAAGTATTGAGTTGAATATAATATTACTTTTAATGGTTTCTTTAAATCTTTTTGTGTACAATGCGCAATTTCTCTTAAAGTGTCAACCACTAAATGTTCACGTGAAACGGTTATATAAAGAAATTGCGTAACTTCTGGAGGCACTATCGGAAAGTTCAAAAAGGCAAATACACCCTAAAAATATAAATTTTACAATTTATAATTTTTTTTTAATAAAAATTTTTTATTAAAGTTTTATTACTTGAGCTGCAGCATTTTGCATTGCAGTATGCATTTGAAAAGCTTGATCAGTCTCTAAAATTGATAATTTTGCTTTTGCGTCAAATAAAAAGGGATATTTACATAAATAGAAGCTATTTTGCTGTAAATATTACATTAAAAAAATTATAGATAATCGGAGGGATTTAATTTTGTAAAAATATATATATTTACACTTTTATCTATTATCCAACGTATATAATCGTTCTGAATATCGATTTCGTCTGTAACTTCTGGAATATGAAAATGTCTTGCTGGAATTTTTTGTTTTCCCTGTCTACTTCTAACATTTACTAAATGTAAAAATACCAGCATATTTAATGCTGCTTGTAAATTTGATTCATAAGTTATTTTCTAAAATGCATATTTTATTCAAATTAATTTGTTTATAATTATCATGTATAAATATTTTTACCTTTTTTCCAGATTCTCTTTCCGGTTTAAATTTGAAACTAATAATATATACAACAACTGATTTAAAGTTATCCACCAATATTTCAAAATATTCGATTGGTACAATTCCCCACCATTTAAATAACACTTTACTGGCGTTGGATGTTAAACGACCAATAGCATTGCTAAATGGTGTATGCAAAGAATTACAATTTTTTGCATTAACAAATTCATGATACATTGGTAATATTAAATATATTCTTAAAGTTTCCACATCAGGTGGAGAAGGTTTCAATGTGTTTAGTAGAGTATTTGTGATACTGTCCCAAATCTAAAATAAGAGTTTTATTTTTTAAAAGGTTAGATACTTAAAAAAGTGTTATGTTACAATTTGTTTTAAAGATTCATTTTCAATTTTCCTAATAAAATCGAAAGCTTTTATAACAGCTGGAACATCCACACCGTGGTGTTTTGAAGTACAACACGAATGATCTCCATCCGATAGTAAAAAAGAAGCATTAATGCACGTTTGGCTAACAAATATCGATTCAATATTAGTAATTAAATCTAAATCAACAGATATATCTTTTGGAGCTTTAGCACATTCTTCTGTCATTTCGGTGGTTAAAGAAAGAATTTGTGTTGTTTTTCTGTAATGAAGAATACATATTATTGAAAATGTTTGGCATTTTTAATATAACATTGAATTACGGATAGTGCCTGCAATCGTAGGCTGGAATTTTTTTCAGAAATTCAGCTGTAGATACCAAACAATGATCACCTCCACAAAATATTCTTGTAACAGTTACTGAAGATCCCATTTTATCTTGTTTTACTTCATCTTGAATTAATGTCCCATTAGGAGATACCTAAATTTTCTTCAAAGTTTTAAACATTCTTTTAAAAATATAGTTTGACAAACCCATGGTCCTAAAATTACTTGTGGTACGTTTGCACTAATAACAGACTTATTACCTAGCTGACCAGAACTACCTAAACCGAAACCATAAACACGTCCCCTTGATGAAACTAAAGCTAAGGTATGACGATTTCCACAAGATATTTGTGTAATTGTACTTCCCATCAGCTCTAAAACCTTAATTAGAAATTTACGATTTACGAAAACTGATTTTATAAATATTATATAAAATATACTTTTCTTGGTAAAATTTCATTAGACAGACTACCATGACCCAGCTGTCCAAACTGTCCAGCACCACAAGTAAAAACTCCACCATCAGCTGTTAGAAAAACTGAGAAATCTTCGCCACAACTTATGTATCGAACTCTCAAAGATCGAAGTGTTTTTAACTGCGTCGGATGATTTTTTGAAGTTTCATCATTTATTCCAAGTTGACCAAAAGTGTTCTTACCCCAACCGTATACAGCTCCAGATTTTGATAGAATAAAACTATGAAATCCTCCGCAACCAATGAAGGAAATTGGCAGACCGGATAAGGAACTTACTAATGTTGGCTTTGTAACTTTTTCTGATGTAACACCATTACCAATTTGACCGTAACTGTTGCCACCCCACGCGTATAAATCCCCATCTAAAAGCAAAATGTTTAGAATATTGAATAAATTAAGCTCTTAACTTACTATTTGTTAAGGCCAAAGAATGATATTTCCCACATGCTATTTGAATAACATTTCTAGTGGCTAATAATTTAATTATTTTTGGACTTGACTGACTCGGTAATCCATTATCGTGTCCTAATTGACCATTGTTATCTGATCCCCAACTAAAAATTTGTCCCCATTCATTTAATGCTAAAGAATGATCACATCCACAAGCTACTTGTGTAATTATGTAGTTTTCCAAATTTTTTACTGGTTCTATGATAAAAATATAATTAAAAATATTTTGCTAAATAACTAATTGAGAGTAAAATTATAGCAGTCCTGTAATGTGAATGAAGCGATTATTGATACTTTTATAATACTAGACTCGACATTTTAAATATTTTGACTATTTGTAACTAAATTATTGACAACAACACCTCTTAAATTATTAATCACATTATTAAAACAAATAATCTAAAATCAAGCACCCATTGTTACACAAAAGTATGTATGTACATATTACAAAAATGTGTACATTTGTTGATTTAAATACAAATATTTATACAAAATTTCTAGTAAATTTAAAGATAAGAATATAATGTTAGTAGATCAGGGAAAAAATCTGTTAGTATTTCTATCACCATAATTCGAAATGTTTCATTATGAATTGACAAGTTCGATATAATTATATACATTATATTAACAGATCAATTCCCATGATTTTTATAATTAATGGTGAAACAAGCAGGACATACTAAATATGGCTGACATACGTGGCCTTTTTCGTGATAACTCGTGACCAAGTTGTCCATAATCATTATTTCCACAGGAATAAACAGTCCCTTGACTAGTTAATAATAAAGTATGTGTGCTGCCACAAGCAGCTTGAACTAATTGCGAAGATAAAGACCATGGCATTTCACGTGGTGAATATATCTAAAAAAAAGGATATATATATATATATATATTTAATCTATGTATATCCTTATTTTAAGTTTTAATCACATAACATTCACATGACTTACCAATTCATCTTCTATGCCCCCCAAACCAAGTTCTCCATGACTTGTGTTACCCCAACAATATATTGCCATATTGGTCTATAAATTTTTTGCATTAAGTTATAAAAATAATTCTAACCATAAACAACATACGATAATAATTAATAAAAAAAACTATATTTGACCACAGGTTTTGATAAATCTAGAAAAATCCATTAATTAAAAATGACAAAGCTAAATGTTACAATATGTATGTACTTTTATATTGTAACTTACAATCGATATTAATGTCAAAAATTACAAATTAAATTCATTTGGCTGTCTGTGTTTATAGCGCATGTAATAATAATGAGATATTGTGAAAATTTAGATATATATTTGTGTATATTATTGTATTTTTTTTTAACTTGATTACTACTCAAATTTTAATATATTTTATTAACAAGGCTAATTTTGAATATATTTTGCAATTTTGCATTGGACTTGGATATCAGAATGACATTAAAGCTTTCATATTGACATTTTATCATTTTTTTCGATCTGTATACATGAATATGTCAGGGATGTTAAACCGTGGTGAATAAATTTAATTTTCGGAAAAAATTGAAAATTTAAAATTTTGCATACATATTTTCAATTTAATAGGCATTTAAATTTAAAAAAAAAGTTAAAAGGGAAATACATGTATGATGTGTTCTTACATACCATTAATTTAATTAATATGTCAACATGTTCCAATTTATGCTGATAAATTTTTAATAAAAAATTTTTTTGAAAGTTGGAAAATAAACAAAGACACAAACCAACAAAAATTCAACAGGTCGTCATAATAATGTTTTATAAGTAATGTTTATGCAAGTGTGTACTGTGCTTTAATAAAATGACAATACAACATAGAAAAAGTTTAACGGATCACAAAATGCAATTCCTAAATTTTTTTAAACGATTTTAACTAGAAAATTCAATTTTAATATTAACATTAAAAATTTTTTAAGAAGTATATGGTTATGAGAAAAATTGCAATATTAAAACAGCAAGGATTTTCGGTTTAATGCAATGAAATGAAATTAAATAAAATTTATGCAGTACACAATATGCATACATAACTATGTATATATGTATGTACATACATATGTATAAGCACTCATTCATTTTGCAAGTTTTCACCTCAATATTGATCAAACAATATTCAAATTTATTGTATTAAAAAAATCAAAGGAAACTTAACAAACAAATTTAAAAAATTAATATTTTTATTTAAAAAGAGGAAAATACAAAATAGAATATATCAAAATGGAAGTAATGGAAGAAGGAAATTTAATGGATAGAATCCCTATCCTTTTACAAAGAGATCTTCAATATTATCAAGTAGGTACCTATACATATGTACTTACATTCCCATATAAATATTCTTTTTTAACTGTACTTTATAAATCTTATTTAATTTTAGGAAAAACAAAACGTATTACAAGAGAAAATATGCCCGGGTGTTGTTGGTGGTAAATTAGACTTTCCGCGATATGCTTCATTTGCTTCTATCAAAATTGTACTTTGGTAAGTCAAAACTTCCAACAATTTAACAATGCATTGAGATAAAAAAAAAATGTATTATTTGTATGTACCTACCATAAAAAAACGGATATTAGTTAATAGTCTTTAATAAACTTATGTAAGAATTGATAAGAATGAATTTTCCAAGTTAAAATTAATCTATTGTGAATTCTAATCTCTATTATAATCTTTTTTAAATTAATCGAATGTTAAGTACCTACTTACTTACAGAATTTTCAATTAATTTATTACAAATGTTTATTTTGTGCCCAAAAAAACTTAATTATTTAATCAATATAATAACAATAAATGACCTTTGTTATAAATAAAAAAATAATTGCTACTACATATATACTTCTAATAATACATCTTAAATTCGCCTATAATTGGTTTTAAATATCTTGTAGTGATAATGATGATGGTGAACTTTTTATTAATAATCCACTACCTATAAAATGCCTACCTACCTACCTACATACTTTTTTCTTATTCGATGTGTTTTATTGGTTCTTCCGGCATCTTTATTTAGAGTCAAGGTTAATTGTTTTGCTTTTTAATCTAACTTTTAATGAAAGGTTTTCTTATTATCACAATTCATGTTTCCCTATTTTCTGTACGCGTGTAATTTTTATGTAGTTTTTGCTTCTTGGTTATTTTAAAAAATGGTTGTATCCATTAGATTTCTTGGCATTTGGTTATTTTTGTTAGGCCAGTTGCGGAATTCTATATTTGTGTTTCTGATGTACAACTTGGCATTTGAATCTATCTCTCTAATTACTGAAACCATGTTGATATTTTTTAAATCGGGCTTTATATATTTGTACTGTGTTAAAAAGATTCATGTTAGTACTCTCTTTCAATTTGTAATATATTGAATAAATTTCGTAAATAGGTTTACTATGTTGAAATAATCAGAAATCTCATATAATATTAAGTTGTTGAATAAGTTGAAGATTTTTTTTAAATTGCATTTAGTGGCATATACATATTTTATATATTGGACTATAAAAACTGTGATCTCAAACTTTCTTTAGTAAATTAGATTTTGCGAATGTTCATTTGCTTATATTGCTCAATATACAGCTCAAATTTTCGTTATAATATCTGTAAATATTCGTCATAGATTAGTACCAACTAACTTTAAATATAATCTTAAATCTTATTTTAAAAACTTAAAAAAATAAAGAGAAACATTAGAAAATTCAGATTTAAATAACATTTATTCAATTTATTTTCTTTTTACTTTAAAATTTTTTCCATTATTATATAAAATAACATAAAATGTTCTAAGTATAGTAAAATTTCAAAGATAGGAAAACGAAAATCGTAAGTTTGGCTGGCTGTTTTTTTTTAATGCAAAAGTCCGTGATGATGTCCATATGAATGTCCATAAATATGATGATCACCATATAGTCCATGACTTGAATATGGTAAAGCAATTGAACTTGAATGTAATGTTGGTATTATTGTATGATGTGGATGATGATGATGATGTGCTATTGGAATTTTATATGATACTTTATGTAAATTGCTATATGATTCAGCTAAGGGTGCATATGATTTTAATACAATTGGTTCAGCAATTTTAACAATTGGAGCTATTGGTTCAGCAATTTTAACAATTGTTGGAGCTGGTGCATATTTAATAATTGTTGGTGCTGGTAAAGCTATCGCAGCTGGATGATGATGATGATGATGATCTAATAAAGTATCATGATGTATAGATGGCAAAGAATATGTGTGTAATCCGTGATGTTCTGGTATAATACCAGCAGAACAGTAAACAATGCACATAATAAATGTTATCTTTAAAAATTAGAAAAAAACCAAAATAATCAATTATTTAATTTAATTATATTTTAAAAGTTTTATTTAATATTTTTAAAGTAAAAATTACTATAAAACTTACAAATTTGAACATTTTGCTAAAAATTAATTTTTTAGTTATAGAAAAATTAAATGAAAAATTCAAACTACTAAGTCGTTATGAGTTGTGGTTTATTATTTCTTATGGTATTTATAGTAAAGATGGTAAAGGTTTGAAATTCTAAATTGTTTTTGGTGTTATTTTTCCATCTCTTAAAAAATTTTAAACATACTGAACGGGGAGGCAACTTTTTTTTTCAACTGTATTGTTTTTTTTTTTGTTAACAGTATTATCAAAAATTATTTTTAAAACCGAACAAAATAACAAATATATTTTTTTGTTTTGTTATTTATAAGAGATGGTGTAAAAAAATAATAGAAGCGTACCATTTAATAACCTCATACACAATTTCAAAAATAATTAAACTAAAAGGGCATAACAAACAAAAGAAGAAAAAAAAAACCGGCAACAAATTTATTGTTCAACTCTAGTAAGACAATTGAAAATTTCAAGAAATCTTTGACTTTATAATAATTGCAATAACAAGGTAGAAAATCTTGAACAACAAACTGACTAACTACATTTTAATACTCAAAAAAGTTATAATAATTATAATTAAGATTTTATGACTTTGAAAATATTATGTTTGTGTTCACTCTATATAATATTAGTTGAGTGAATGTTACTGATAATATACGAAAATTATTTTAATTTAATTATTACTGCGATGGAAAAAATTTGAAAAATTTGTTTAATGTAAAAAAAACGTTGTAGATCGTCATTTGGTACAGATACTTTATATTTCAATGAAGTAGAATGCTCTGCAATAGATGGAATTATTACTTTTAGAGTAAATATAACGAAATAAATTTATAATTCCTGAATTAGAAATAATCTATAGAAATGTCGAACGGCAAGATTAATAAAATTAAGGAATCAAAATATTTACCAATTTTTAATTGAACAATTAAATTCAAGAGATCTTAAATATCTACGATCTGTAATTAGAAATTTCTTAAGAGAAAATTTAAATAAAGCAAAACATTTAGTATTTTCTTACTAGTATTTTGTGTTTTTCTAAGAACTAAATGAGACTTTATTGTGAACGAAACGGATATTAAATAGTTTTTCGGAACGCGACTGTAGTACAAACATAATTATGTAGTATATATTTTTTGTAATTGTTAGATGGATTGAAAACGAAATAAGAAAAAATTCAACTAATTCAAATTGATTTTTTTTTTGATCTAATTTGTATAAAATTGTGTAGCACAGTAGATTTATATAAACAAAATTAAAGTTGAAAATTCTTTCAATGAAATTTATAATGAATGAAGAATAAATACACACACTTCAAGATTTAGTTGTTAAATTTGAGCGGACCCGAAATTATACAATATTATGTACTCATAATTATTATATTTATATGTACCTAATACTTGCTATACTATACCTTATTAATGACTCATTTTATCATATACGATACGTACATCAATAATTATTAGGTACAAACTATTAAATGTACTCATTTTTTTTTTTCAAAATAAATATTTTAATAATCAATGATATCATAAATTTGCTCTTCGATTTATAATGTTACAATTTCTAATTTTTTTTAGAAAAAAATATATTTTATCATAAATTTTTCGTTTTGCAAGGAGTATAGATTTGTGAATGCAATTTTAGTTTTACAAATTAGTTTTTAATAGTCAATTTTAATTACTGAATTAGTAAAATCAGTGCAATTTCAATTACTGAATAATTCAAATTACATGTATTTTTTGTTGTGTAAAAATAATTACGGTATTTATTGGAAATTATACTTATTTAACAGAAATTTAAATACATATAAATAGGTGTTCCTAATTGGTATTCTATTGAAACTTTGTTTTAACTAAAATACTCGAACATCTGGATTGTAGTTAATCTGTATTAACATCTAATTCAGTATTGCAATAGTGTATTAATCCAGTAATATACCATTACAACTAGAAGTTTTAAGCTGGATTGTTATGATTACGATCCCAGGTGTGTATACTTCCAAAATATAAAGCATAGTACATATACGTATACAAGATTTCTCCCCCGTATACAACTTTAACTGGAACTGTTGAATTGAATCCTGCTGTGAAAATTTTTAGACATTTTTGATATTATTTTATAATTTTATTGTATGCAAGTACATAATTTAAGTGTCATCCTAGAGTTTTACCTATTTAACTTATAATATTTTTTATAAAGATCAGTTAGGTTTATCTTGTATATTTGTATCCGATTAGCCATGGGATAATGTTACAATGCCAACTTGAAGTGTTTTTATTTTTTCATTATTTTTTTTTTGTTTTAAAATGTACATTTCATGTTTTCGTGTTTTGGGTTATTTTACTTTTTCCTTCTTAGTTTGATGTACAAGTGTGTATAAATATTATATTATATAAGTGTGTACAGCATACAATACCGCATATATAAAGAATAATGAACTTGAATACTTGTTCTATAATTGGTGTTTACGGTTATAATATTAAATATTAAAATATTTCATTATTTGGCGAACACAATTTATTATTTTGTTGATTCATAGGCATGTATATGGAATAATTTGGTTTATTTAGATTAAATTTGAAATTATTGAACTCTTTTGATGTCACATGAGGTACAATATAGACAACCTTTAAAATAATTTTTTGTTTTTTTTTTTTATGTTATTCTTGTTTCTCTGTCAATTGTTATGTAATTTTGATTTACCTTTGTTAATTTTATTAGAGCGCAAATTTAAAAAAAAAAAAAAAGAAAATAAAAGAAAAATTGTTTAATTTGACCATCCATTTAATTGGATGGCACATTTAAAGAGAAAACAGTAAAATCTCTTTCTATATGAAAAACAAAATATTAAGTATAGAATTTGCAAGAAAATTCAATTGAGTAGATCTATAGGAGTATTTTTAAATTGTATGTATATGAGTGTAACGTCAACTTGATTTATTCAGCAATATAATTTTAATTTCTGATTTTATTCAATTAAAATTGTTGCCTTATTATTTTTTTTAGTTCTCTAAAAACATGTAATACAGTAGACAACATTTCTATATTTCATACGGGCTGAATTATATGAGTCGCGTATTTTGAAACGCATGTGATCTGAGGGCATATATCGAAACTCTGATGTAGCATAAATTTGACCAATTCAGTAATACAATTTTAATTGTCTGAATAAGTTAAATTGACGTTAGATTCACATTTTGCTAGACATTTTATTTGTTTTTTATTTAGTTTGCTGCCTTAAAATTAATATACTATATTTAGTATATATGTACATAATTGAAAATTACGGTAATATTTCGGTATTAATTCGGTACTGATATAAGCTGCAATACAGTACTGATATAAGCTCAGTACAGTGTTTATTGGTTTATATTTGATGTTATTAAATGATCATACATGTAAGAATACTCCATTTTTAAAAGAAATATCATTAATTTTAAATATTTATAATTGAGAAATTTTGCATTTATTGCATGAATGGTTTATACTGTGTATATTGTCCATATAACTATATAACAAAAAAAAAATTAACAAATATAATTGTTAAATTAAAATAATTGTAATTGTTTTGAGTACGAAAATTTAATGAGTTTATACATTTTCTATATACATACATTCCACATTCACAACTGTTATACTCCGTGTGAATTTTATCATTTTAATGAGATTTTAAAGATAATTTTTATGATAACGTATATACAATTTTCTTTTTAATTTCAAGCATGTAAGTATGTACACTATTAACTTTAAGTTGTTTTATAAGTTTACTGCTTCTTTAAGTTGGGCAAGAGTTGTAAAAAAGAAACAGACAAGTGTGTTATCACGATTTATATATGAGTCTTAAAATAAAATTCGAGAATTCACAATAGCATATAAAGTATAAGTGGAAAATAAAAATTGCAACTAAAAACTACATACGTATTGTATAATTTTTCGGTACACATTGTAAATATTTTCGCTTTATATATATTTTTTTTTTCTCTTACTCATGATTTGTTTGAATTGTACTCCAATGTTAATGAATAAATATTTTTTTGTTTGAGGGAATTCATAAATTTTAATAAATTGATTCAGTAAGTATATTGTTGGGAATACATTATCTCTAACATTGAAATTGTAGATATACTGTAGAACAATACCATTCTGCAATAAGTACACTAGTAAGTTTAGTTGCATAGCAATTACAAGTATATGATAACTGCAATTTCGATATAATGGTATGGCCAAACCGTTGATGCGTTTTAGAAATCATTATTAAAAAATAATTGGCAGCTATTAGAATATAAACTGACGTGGTGCCTAAACTTTGGTCAGCGATTTAAATTTTTTTGTCGAATAAATCCAGTTCACTTATTTAGCACTCTTTTTCTCTTCGACTATAATATTTTTCTTTGACTTAATTTAAATTATATATTGTATGTAATGAATTTTTTTTATAAATTCTAATTGATTTAATATCTTTATTATAGGTGGGAAGATGAATATCTTGCCGCATATAGAAAACATTCTGGTTTGTTACACAAAAATACTGAATTTGAAGAAACTAAAACTGAACATCAAGATGTAAGATGTGAAAAAAATATTTTCATAAAACTAATTCATTTAAAATTTCTGAAATTCTTGTATAGATGGCATCTGATGTAAAAGGTTCTAATCCAGAAATGTTTGTTAGTTTAGTTACAAAATCTGCCGATAAATTATTAGAACATTTACATTGTCTCAGTCAAGAATCATTAGATCATGCTGATTTAACTGTATTGACGGCTACAATTGGTGCTGCTGCTCTAATTAAAAATTGTTTATGGGTATATTTACAATCAGTTAGTACAACAATATGCCCACCAACTGTTGAGGATGAAAAAGGCGGCTCATTAAAATTAAGTTATAAACAATATTCTGAAATGACAGAAGCATTAGCAGAACGTTTGTTAGACTTACATTGTATGTATAACTGTACTTTTGTTTAAAATAAATTATTAATACTTTCTTATCCAAATTTAAGGTCGTTTATTAACTTTATATATAATGCAAGATGCAGAAAGTTTGCATTGGGAAAATCAACAAACATTTTTTGAATCAGAACGCGGAAGTTATACAATACAAATGTGGTGGTTGTATATTAAAGGAACAAGAGAAGATTTATGGAATTCTGTTCCACCAAAAATGGTAATTTTTGATTTTTTATTTGTCGTTTATCAGTATAAGGCTTATGAGGTTTTTATACAATGTGAAAAGCTTTGAAATTAATTTGTATTTAAAAAAATCGTCTTATGTTTTATTAATTTTTTTTGTAACATAACCAATATAACAACAATATTTCTTAAAATGAGCTTTTAAAAAACTGTTTAATGTAAAAGATCATGATGATGAACATGTCCATGATGATGACTAGCTAAAGGTAATGTTGCATGATGTAAAGCTGATGGTGAGCTTAATAAAATTGGTGAAGAATGAATTGGTACTGGTACAGAGATAGCATGATGATGATTAGGATGATGCGGTAATGGCGCTAATTTAACTGCATGTATCTTATGTAAATGATTTAAAGGTTCGGTATGATGATGCTGATGAAGATGATGTTCTGGTATATATGATTTTAAGACAATTGGCTCATGGGCAACTTTTACAATTGGCTGTGCAACATACTTAATGATTGGTGTTGCTACTTTAACAATTGGTGTTGCAACTTTAACAATTGGTACAGGAGCTGGTACTGCAATCGGGGTATGTGAAATATGATAAGCTCCATGTCCTGATGGTGATGCTACTTTAATAATTGGACCATGATGGCTTAAATGATCATGATGACCTAAATGATTATGTACAAAATGATCATGTTCTAGTATTGTACCATGTGCTGATGGAAGACTTAAATGGCTATGATGTAATCCATGATGATGATGTTCTGATGGAATAATTCCAGCTGAAGCCAAAACAATATATGCAGCAAAAATGACCTTATAAATATTTGAGGAAGAAAATTAGTATTTTAAATGTATTTAATATTTTAACTTACAAATTTAAGCATTTTTGTTTAAGTAATTTTTGTTTAATTGCTGGAAATATTATGAATCTTTAGTTAAGTCGAAAGTACAAAACTTTAATGATACAATTTAATGTTAAAACTCAGTATTTATAGTATAATGCATAAATCAATATCGATAATTTCCTATACTTTTCTATCTCGCCGGAATTATAAAATTTTTTTCTAATTGTTTTCTTGAAAAATGAAAGTACTTGTAGTAATAAGAAAGAAAATGCTATAAAAATAAGAAATAAGTTCAAATATTTTCAAGTGATCTCATATGTGTAGCACTTTTAAAGTACCATTACCAAATTCGAATTCACAAGCAGCATAAAAAACGATATGTATAATAAAATAACAAGAATTTCACATAGGTATAGGTCATTGTTTAAATTGAATTCATTGCTAAGGTGATAAAGAGATAAATATTTTAATGATTTTATAAACAAATTTGAAATTTCTATAACATTTCTGGCATTCATGAAATACAATATTTAGTGATTATTACATGACACTTTTTTTTTGTCTTGTAATTTATCTCCTACCGAAAATGAAAATATAAAAAAGAATTTATAAAGTGAATTTACAATTAAATAAGTTATGCGACCGAATTTTTTGTTACAATTATAAAAAATGTATTTCAAAATTTTTTATTTTTTTTGTTACAAAATAATGCATATTGGTGTTGTTTGTATATTATGTAATTTTTATAAAGTACAAAAAAAAAATAACAAATGTAGGTAAAAAGTTTTATATATCACACTTTTCAAGGTTATTCCAAATTTATTTTAACAATTAATATTGTGCATTTTATAAGCTAATAAGGTACTTTATCTAAAATATTTGGTGTTAGGAAATTTTGCCATTAACATGATATTGAAGTAGGAGATTTTCAATATTTGTTTCATTTTTTTAATAAAAAAAATGTTAAATGTTATTTAAAGAAAAACAATAACAAAATTATAGTATCAATAGTACTTGAAATATTTACCCTTTTCAAGAATAATGATAGGGCGTATAACATAATTCAGTTTTCAACGTTAGCTTGATTTATTAAGTAAATTTAATCTTAATTGCTAAGTGGATTGTATATTAGGTTGTAATTAAGTAAAATCGCACTCTGATAAACTCTCCTACAAAACTTTATTTGTCTTATAGAACCAGTGACGGTTTTGATCAATTTTAGCGAAATATAAACTGTTGATTTAAAATTTTGACTGTTTGCTGTAAAACTGAACATATTCTTAATAAGACGAATTTAATAAGTTTTTTAATAAGGAAAAAAATTAAAATTCAACAAAAACTACATATTTTCAAAAAATTTATTAAAATATTATAAAAATTATAAAAAACAAAACTTTAAATTACATAAACTATATATGTAAATGCATGTAATGTAAAATATTCATAAATTTTCTTAATATATTACCTATAAGTTTTCCTGGCAATGAATTTCATGATTTTAAATTACTTTTCAATATTTATTTGCACTTTTTTATTAATGAAAAAAATATTGTAATAAAAGTCGGTTAAGCTTATTAAATTCAAATATCCTTTTTCAAATAAATTTAATACAAATCTTAAATTTATTTTTCAAAAAAATTTTAATTATCTAATATTGTATCATTAATTTCAAAATTAATTAATGAATTTTGATAGAATCTAGATTTAAGTATGGTTAACATGAACATGTAAAAAAATTAAGTCCACCCCGACTTAAACAATTTTCGCTTTCATCTACAAAATTTCTCTATAACTAATATAGGGTAAAACATATATAAAAATCGTAAATAGATTTAATAGAACCCTTTTTGTTTAAAAACATTCATATAAATTTCTATTGTAACAATCATAATGAAGAAGTTATAAAAACTAGGAAGAATTTGTGCTATAAGGAAAACGTGTTAAGTATAATACACTCGAATATTAAAGAAAATGGAGTAACTTTCAAAGGGTTGCTAAAGTTTATATTATATTCTAAGATTAAATTGTACAAAGGGTTAACTTAAGGGTTAAAATCTACAAAGGGTAAAATAACGAAAAGAAGACATCTCTTAAGATTTTGTGTTTTGCTTGAAATTTAATTGGGTAAACACTAAATTCTAAAGGATCGTCATACTAAAAGCACACACTTTTTTGATTCACACAACTCTTGAATCATTACTGTGTTCTGTCATTGTAAATAATAGTTAATTTTCTTTAAAAAGCATAAAATTTTTTATTTTCTTAAATCTAGAAAGTTTAAAAATTATGTAGAGTTATAGAGGGTATAAAAATTTGTTGCGTTATAAAAGTTAATTGACTATACTGAATAATTAATTAGAGCCACACAAACAAGATCAATTAAATTTAATTTTATAGAACCGAATTTATTATATGAGAATGATAGAACTGTGTATAATAACTCGTGAAAAACATTTTCAATGGTTTTTAAATTAAAATAGCCTAAAAATTTAAGTCGTTTTGTAAGAAATCATATTTCAAGTTTTCATTAACATTTACACAAATAAATTTAGATTTAATTTTGATTTTTTAATTGATATCATTTAATTTTTAAAAAAATGTAAATTTGAATTTTCATATAATATTCAAAATGTTAACAAGAATTTTTTATATTTTCTTTTATCAAAATATTTAACAATAAAACTTAAATATGTAAATTTTAGTTTTATCATTCTGAATTTAATGTAAAATATCATGATGATGATGATGATGTCCTAAACTGGCCAAATGATAATGTGGTAAACCATGAAGTGCTGGTAATGCAATTGCATGATGATGATGGTGATGGCCAGGATATGATTTCAATACAATTGGTTCAGCAACTTTAACAATTGGTTGAGCAACATATTTAACAACTGGTTGACTAACATATTTTACAACTGGTGCTACTTTAACTACAGCCGGTGCAGTAATTATTGGGGAATGTGCTAAAATTGGATCATGATGATGATGATGTAAAGGATGTCCCAAAATAGTACCATGAGCAGATGGTAAACCTAATGTATGTAATCCATGATGTTCTGGTATAATTCCAGCCGATGTAATAGCAATAAAAACCGAAAAAATTACCTTTAATTGAAAATAAAGTGATTAAAAATAATTTACATTGAAAAATTAAGTTCACCTTAGAAATATTGATTATTGAAAATATTATAAAATAACTTACAAATTTGAACATTTTGGATTTGGATTGGAATATTGTTTAAATAGCTCGAAAGTATGAAAGTAATATGATTTCAATAAATTTCTTACATGCTATTTATACAAAAAAAATTTTTATGAGAAAAAACAAAAAAATATTTTTGCTTTTCTATACATTATTTACTCTACATATATTAAACTGAATGATACTTATGTAAATTTTGAAATTTTTTTTTTCGATTATTAAGTGTTTCACTTGATTTTTAAAGAACTTCCGAAATATATGTATGGAAACGGTAGTGAATAGTTATTAAAGTGTTAATTATAATTGTTTAGTAATAACATTGGGTTTTTTATCATGTTGAAAGTAAAATTTTTAAGTATTTTAAATATTGAAACCATATTGGTAAATTATGGTGTACGTAATTTTAAAATTAATTTAACAATAATGTAAATTTTTAGGTGTTACGGAAAGTTAGAATAAGAATTTATAAAAACATTAAAATAGTTTTAAGATAGGAACAATTTTTTTTAAAATTTTAAAAAAAGATTGTAATTGCAACCACTCCTGTTGCTACTGTTTGTAAAAAGTTGAATTTACTTGAATTTTCTTTTTGTGAAAATTTGAGTATAATCAAATGTTAATTTGATTTCAATTTTATTAATTTTCTATTGTTTTTAATAATTATTTTGCAATTACTATAATACAAAATATCGCACGTGTATGCATGTTGCAGCCTTTTGGAAAATTTTTGCTCTAAAACAGATGGAACAAAATTTTTTTTTAAATTTCAAGAAGGCGTTACTTGTAAATAAATAGAATTTTGATATGGAATTGGTCAAATTTTTTAGAAGGTGCAACTTAAAGTAAAAGTTATTAAAAACTAGGTCTATAGATTTACAAATAAAATTATTACTTTGTAGTCTTACAATTATAATGAGTTGTTGACAATTTAAAACCCTTACAATATAATTTACAACAGCTAAAAAAATTAATACATTTTACTAAAAGTTTAATTTTGATTGTTGAGTATCAATGAATTTTTAGCAAATTTTTTTAAATGTAGATTAATTTTCGTAGGCAAGAGATATGGAACTTATTGTTGGTGGGATTCAAGATTTTTTTTTTTGCGTCATATATATTTGACAAAAACTCATCTTTTTAAAACTAATTTTACTAAAATTAAATTTGATTGTTTGATTGGAGCAAATAAAAATAGATTTCAAGTAAATAAGAATTAGATTTTAGGGATCTAGATTTCAGTAGCGAATTGCATGAGTGATTTACAAAAATTTTATCAGTTAGTTTAAACTTGCACTTGTAAAGCTTGTAGTTACAATCTACAAAATCTAACTCAAAAACTTAAAAATAAATAGCAGAATGTTTTGGAATTGCAAAGTCACAGATTTTTTCAGAATGGTTTTATTGACGAAGTTAAGTCATATTTGATAAAAAAGTTAAAAACCTTTTTGATTAATTTCATTCGAATATTTTTACTACTCATTCAGTATGTAGTTCTTTTTAATTATTACAACATCCCGACTTTTTCATTAATAATCAAATCATGGAAGATTCTAGTTTATATTAAAATTTTTCAAAAAAAAAGATATGTGAGGTAAAAGAAGCAATAAGAATATGAGACATAATAAAGCATAAAAAAACATTTGTCAATTGATGTTTCCTGTCTTCTTTTTACTAAAATGTGCAATGAAATAAATTGTTAAATTCTCACTTCTTCTGACTCTATAGCGTTATAGTATGGGAACAGTATTCTTTATTTTCAAAGATTTTAGAAGAAAAGTTCCATCGATTTTAATTGTATTGCAATAAACCTTGAAATTCTATATTACAGTAATAACGTTTTTAAATTCGATTCAGCCTATTCGCAAATTATTGTAATATAAAGCTTGACCATAAATTTTTGAACAAAATTAAAAAAAGAAAACAATATTAATTTATGAAATTCAAGAAAATATATGAATTTTTCAGTTGTCTTGCCTCCGGAGAGTGCGGAATGTATGGCTAATTTTCTAATTTTCCAACAAACGGATAATAGGTACTTTCCAACCAATGTAGTAAGTTCTAAAAAAACAGAGAAAAGGAGGCAGTAATAGAAATATATTATGCCTAGAACTCTATTAAATAATTTTTTTTTTAATTTTTCTCGGATTCATTAGAATTAGAATGAATCATATTCCACACATATTTTATTTGGAATCATGTCATTAGGTAGTTAATTCGAATTTTTTCGAATTTTAATAAATTAGAACTAATAAATGAACTATTTTTTAAAAAAATATTTTAATTTATTTTCGAAATAAATAATTATTTAATTATTTTGTAACACAATAATAAATATAATCATATCAACAAAGTATTAACAATAATTAAATAAATAATTAACTATAAAAAAGATGAAAGAAAAAACAACTAAACACACATACATTTTAAAATATTTTTTTTTTCTTTTATATTTCAGTGCTGTTCATGTTCATGACTCTGCTCATGATGATGACTCCGTCTACTTATAGATGTATGCTCATATGCTGGACCAGTTAATATTACTTGATCTGTATGATATGCTGGTACTGTTACTGTTGCAACATGATGATGTGTATGATGTGTATGTGGTATATATTGTTGTTGATGATGTGGTGCTGGTGTTGCTTTATATGTTGTTACCTTTTGTATATGTTGATGATGTTGTTGTTGTTCATGTGAATGTTCCGGATTATATGGTACATATTTTAATACTTTAACAATTCTTTGTGGAACTTTTACAATTCTTTGTGGTACAAGTTTAATAACACGTTGTGTTGCTGTTGCTGGCATATATTTAATAACTTGTGTTGATTGATGTGATGCAGCTGGAATATATTTTACAAGTCGTTGTCTATGATGTGGTATATATTTTACTATAGATTCTTGTACTGATGTTGAAGTTGTTGGTATTGGTGTTACTGGTGTTGGTGGTTGTGGTGGTGGTGATGTTGCTTGAACATATTTGTATACAGGTTGTGGAATATATTTAACACGAATATATTGTACAATATGTTGTGGCTCAACATCTTCTTGTGATTCATCATCAACATCATCTTCTTCAGGATCTTCAGTTACTAATGGTGATTGATTTGTAGGTTCATCATTTGATCCATGTGCTGTTAAAGGTCCATGTCCAGATGGTATTGCTTGTGTATGTAATCCATAATGTTCATCAGAATTTAGATATTCAGTTGATGCATTAACATAAATAATTAAAATGGCAAATACAATCTGAAATTATAATTATAGTTAAGAAGTTATAATAATATGGTTAAGAATTAATATGATAATTCAGATTATTAATAATAGTTAAGAAATGATTTGTGAATTTAAATTAAATGCTTACAAATTTAAACATTATTAAAATATAATTAAAATTATTATTAGATGATAATGATTGAAAGTACAAAATTGTTATGATAAATTTATGATGGCAACTCCAAGTATTTATACTTAATTAATTTTTAAAGTAAATATTTTTCTCCTCAATATGACGATTCTCGTTGATATTTTGTCTATTAAAATTCAATATTTGAATTCAGATTCAGATCATTCAAAGAAGAATTCAAGTCAAAATCTTTTAATATGATACAATTTTATTTTTTTTTTGTTTTAAATCAATCACCAAATATAGAAAATTTTTTGTATGCCATTTGAGAAACTCTTCATAGAAGTGGTCTATTTTTCAAAAGAGATTTACAATAAATTCAAATAATATTTTTGTTTTTTAAATTGTTTTTGTATAATGAATAATTTTCAATAACTTTGGTAATTGAATGCATCATATTAAATTTAAGCATGCACATAATGGTAATAAGGCCAATGGCAATATGATTTTTTTCAGGTCAAAATGAAAATGTTATTATTGAACCGCCTACAAATATGCAATAACATGTTTTTATTTAATGTCAAGATTAAGTTTAATAAAAATATTTCAATTAATTAATTGAAAGTAAATTTAAAAGTTAGATTTTTTAAAATTAAATTAATTTGTTAAATATGATTAGTTGACAAATTCACACTTCCAACCTTTTTTTAACTTTTTGTTATTATTTTTTTTTAGGCTCAAAGGGTTTTCGCTGGCATGTTAAATGAAACTTTAACAGTGTTAACTGTACGTTACACACAGGTAATTAATATTATTTACAATTTATAAGATCGTAAGATTTTTAAGTTAATTTTACGAAGAAAGTTAAGGTTCAATTCGAACCGTATTTCGAAAAATTGTGCTCACTGATGATGATTATTTCTGGTTGAATGAATTTGTTAATAAACAAAATTTTTGCAATTGATGCAATTAGCAACCAATTACATTATAAAGGTTGCCATTCCACCCTGAAAAGGGTTTAGCGTTATTTTATGGGAAAGTGGTACCGGCTCGTATTTCTTCAAAGTTTTTCTATACAGATCACAATTTTATCGTTAGTGGAGGCCAGTATTAAGTAATTGTTTCAAACTTTTGTCAGCCTCAAATACAAAATCTCGTTTAATTTGACATGTTGTTTTAACAAGATGGCAATGCTTATACTTTCAACAAGATGGCAATGCTTACACTTATTCAATATTGTATGTTTTATGTTTAAATTTTTTACCTTTTTTTATATTTTTTTTCATTATACAGAACGAAGAGTACAAATATAATTTTAATGATAATTTTTTTTTTTATTTTTCAGACAATACCAAGTTTTGCTAGATCACAACTTTTACTATGTGACGTAACGAATATTCTATTTTGTGTATCCGAGTTATTGGCTAGTATTTCCGAGAATGGTGAAGCTTACATAGGTATATAAAATAATAATTTTTATATTTTACGACAAGAATTTTCTATTTTTGTCGTAAGTATAAGGTTGTATAAATATGTACAATCACTTCCCTTTTATAATTTTCTTTTCAATATTTTATGCATTTTAATAAATATTTTCCCAAAAAAAAATGTTTACACATAACATTTATGTTGAATGTTGAATATAATTTTATAGAGCTATAAAATATTTACAAATTTTATTATTTGAAAAGAAAATATGCATAATTTTATGACATTTATTGTAATGGTAAATTTTAAGTCCTTGTTCCTTTCTCCAAATGACAATATACAATATTTTTCCTAATCTTAATATTTTCGTGTATGGAAGAAAGGAAAAAATTTTATTCACTTAAAAAAAAAATTTGTCTACCCGTTTATTTTTCAATTTCCTTTTTTAAATTTAATATTCTTGTACAAGGTGTTGGCGGGTTTCTGCAATATAATACAAATGAAAAAAAGTATTACATTTGTCGCAATATTGTAAGATATTCAAATTTTACTTCCTTTCTAAATGAACACAAAAATATTGAGATAAAATATGAATAAAACAGTATTTTAAAATTATTGTATAATATGCACATTGAATAATTCCAAGAATGTGAACTGAAGCCTTATAATCATAATAATTTTAAGTATATGATATTTACTCAATAATTTTAAATACTAATCCTTTACATTATTAAAAGTAGATTATTCTTTATTATACTTAAACTGAATGATATTCTTAATTGTAAATTTTGATTTTTTTCTTGTTAGAGAATCCTTTTTTTTTATTACTTGGTTTGATTTTGTGCAATTGCATTTTTCTAGTATAAATATTTAAGAAACGGTTTGTTATTTTTGTTGAAAAATACCAGACTTGGAAGGAAATAGAAATATAAGCATGTATGAAATTGCAAAAACACTACTGAACATTCTTTTATTTTTTGTATATCGTGTTTAAGATGTTATTTTAAGAGAAACAAATATTTTCTTTTGTTGGTACAGTTCAACAATCTTGTATCCATACCCAAAAAAATATGTAGAATTATAGATGAAAGAAGTAACCTCATTTTTTTTTGTATACTAAAAGCACAAGTATTCATAAATATTTTTTTTTTATTTTAGGACTTCAACTGGCAAACCAAAGTAAAATAATAAGAGATATACATGCTAAATGCCAGGAGCTTTTTGCTTGCTTACTACTAAGGGGAGCACCACTTGGAGTACTTTTTAAAGTATACATATATACACGCTTATATATTATATACATGCATACATATTCGAAATTTTAACTTTTATTTGTTTATTTTAAATCTTTTACTTTGTTCAAAAATGTTATTGTAAAACACGTAGAAAAATGTGAAATTTTTCCTCATCATTTTTATAAGGAAGAAAATATACTTTTTTTTTGTTATTTTTAATGTTACTCTTATGTAATTTCGTATATTCTGTAAATATTTTGTAATTTTTGTAGTTGTATATCTTTAATTTTAGAAGTCGTGTAAATCTCTTGCTTTTCAATATTTATTCATTATATTGTAAATTATGATATACATTATTATATTTATATTTTTAATTCTTAAGATTAGGAAAATAAGAATAAAAGATGCAGAGAGTTTTAGAAGTTAAATTTTTCAAAACGAAATATTGAAAGAATGTAAATACTAAACTCTGTTACATTAAAACACTATGCGTTCGATATTAGTTAATTAAATATAATTTAAAATAATTTTTTAGGCTAAGTTAACAAAATCGAAAAACAAACCAATTTTTTTTATATAATTGGTTATTTAATATTTTTTTTATATTCTTAATTAAATTAGTTTGGATTTATTTCTTTTATAATATTAAGATTCTTTCGATTATTACTTCTCTATCTTTGCACCTTTTCATTGCAAGAGAAGGGTTTCTTCAAAATATCCTTTTTAATAAGTTTTTTTTTTATTTTATAAGTTTGGTATAAGTTGTTACTTTTTTATCTTAGAAGTTTGATATAGGAAGTCAGTTTAGGTAGCCTTTCATTTATATGGCTATTATAGGATTTGAATAATTTCAGCAACCTTTTTTAAGATCTATAATAATAATTGTATAAATTTCTTCCTTTCATTCATTTGTATGTATATTCAAAAGAATTAATAATATATATAAAACTAAGGTGAAATTATTTTATAGCAAATTTTATTCTAACATTAGTTATATTCTGAAAAATTTTCCGTTTTTATACAAAATTTTCTTCAAAAAAAAATTTTTTTTCTCTGCATCTTTGTTTATGACCTAGGATTTTTTTTTTTTATTATCTTGAGAAAAATATCTAGACAAAATTAGTATAAACAAGATTATTTGAAATTTTACATAACATCTTTTCACATATATATGTATGTGCACTTATATTTTTTTTTATAATATATAAGTAAATAAATATAAAATAAATTAATATTTTTAGCTTTTCCGTAAAGGAACACGTAGTATGGATTTATTTTCATCACGTCAAGGTTTACCAAGTGGTTGGATTGTATTTACATTACCAAGATTATTTCCAGTACATCAAGCAGCAGCAGGTCAATGGGTTTCAAGATCTTTAGATTTACCAACAAGTACATGTATTGCACTTGAATTAAAAGTTCTTTTAGCAGCACCACAACCAAATTGGTCACATTTATTAAAAGTAAGTATAATATACGTACATGTCATACTATTATTATATAAGAATATCATCATCTTTTTTTAATATTTCATTTATGAGTATGTATGAATTAATGTTTATGTATGTAATATAATATAAATATTTGTATATGAGAAGAAATTATGTGATCTTATAGATATTATGTGATCAGATGCGTTAAAAAATTTTGTGTCCTTGGGTCTTAAACAACCCTTTAAGCATTTTACTCTCTCTCTCCAATTATTTAGAAATAGTTCGACTCTAAGGTAGGAAATAATGTTTAAAGATATTCGCAACTTCTCTTAACATTACTCCTAGACTATTATAGTCGCATAATTACCTGACACCACACAATGAAAAGTAGATTTTTCTAAAAATGACTAATACACACGCTTACAACTATAGATAAGCTGCATAAAATATCTTTTATCTATATGTTCCAAATGTGCAGCCAAGTAAAATAAGTTAAAAAAAATGCATTTAAAAAATAAAGTTTGACCTAAAAATGTTCACGGTTTTTTTTTTATAAACTTCAGGTAAAAGTTTTTACATATTAAGCAATGCAGTAAATTGTTTAATATTAAAGAGACCACCTTTATTTAATTTTTAGAGATAATTTTATTTGCTTTAGAATTTTTAGTTATTTTAAAGTAATTTATTAAAGTGAATTGGTTGTTGTGTGAAAAAACTGGTTTGAAATTCTATAATAAAGGATTTTTCACCATTTAGGTGAAATTTTAAACTTATATGGGATCTTATAGCTAAGATTTTATTCTAAGGTCATAAAATAAATTTTTATTTAGTTTATGCAAGTTTATTTTTTGTTGTATTTTAGGTTTTATTTCAAATATTTTTTATTTAATATTAGGTTTCACATTCAGTTTTGATTTCATTCATTTAATATTCCTTTCAGAATGCTTTTAATTTGGAAATTTAAAATAAATTTTATAATTATAATTTGTTCAAAACCCCGGATACACTTGTTAAATCACCGCCATTCACGTATTACTATTTTCTTTCTTTTTCCATATTTTTATAATAATAAAAAAAATATATACGGTTTCCAAATTATTACAGTCCGAATTTCACATTTTCTTTCTCATCATATAAAACATAAAATTTAAAATATATGAAAGTAAAATGCTTCGTCACTGTAGAAACTACTGGTTTTTCTCTTTCTCCTTTTACACTAATAAAAATTCAGGTACTTTTGATGAGAGATGCCACAATTACAACAATTGTAATTCATCATTTAATGAAAAATTTACCAACATCAGATAATTTTCATTCAGCATTGGAGCAAGGATTCTTTAATCAAAATTTGGATAGAAAATGTGAAGCATTTTTATGTGCTGGTGAATGTTTTTCAAGTTATGATAGTAATAAAGAAAAAGGTATGTAGGTAAATATGTAAGTACATAGATTATTTTTGAATATTAAAATATGGTAGGTTATACAAATTTTATTCTAAATTTTAAAATAAATGAGTACATGAAATTGTTTTGAAAAAAAATATGCTCTTCAGAAGCTTAATTGGCATGGTAGTGCCGTACTTTTAATTTAATTTTTAAATTAAAACACAATAAGAAAATTAAGTTAATCTGGTATCACCAAAAATTTAATTTATTCTATTAAAAATCAATATTATTTTTTCTAAATGTTAGAGAATTTTTCAAAGAGTATATAATATGTTATATAAATAAAAAGATTACAGGGTTACAGTTTGGGTTTTTTTTTTCAATTTTAAATCGAAAATAATTCAAAGCTTTTTTTTATTTTTTTTAATTCATATATACAAATTCTATTTATCTGTATATTGTAGATCCAATTGGGGAAGCCAATTATCAGGTGGTATTATCATTGGTTTATATTATTATTGGAACTGGGAAAACATCAGATATAAGTGCATCTGTAATAGCAGCATTAGAAAAAGGTTCAATGAATAATTGGTCAGATTGTTTGGATAAGAGACAGGTGAAATTTAAATTGATTGTGGTATTTATATATAGTATGTGTATGCTTTTATTATTTATTTTCATTCTAAATTCTAAAAATAAAAAAAACAGAAGTTTTGATATTTCAATTAAAATTTCTAAAAAAGTATTATTTTTTTTATATTTGTATGTTATAAAACTTTTTGATTGAAAACTACAATTATTGAAAATTTTTGTGCAGATAATTAATAAAGTTTTTGTTTTTTAGGTTTGGGATCAAAAACGTCCACCATGGCTAGAAGCAATATTACATTTTGTTTATCCAATATTAGATTGTGTGGTACAAATGTTGGTAAGCTACATTAAATGATCAAATCCTGTATATGGGTTTTCTTTTTATGTGAATGTAATTAAAAGAATTCATTTTCAAAATATTGATTATTAGTCAAGTTAAAGTCAAAATATTTTTTCATTTCCTTTCGAAAACGTAATTCTTTCATCTCTTAACACTAATATTTTACAATTTTTTATATTTTAAAAATGGAACGTTTTAATTTTGGAACAAGAAGAAAAATAAACCCATAAGTTTCGAATATATTTTGCATTTCAAATAGAATTTTCCCATATTTTGGTGATTTTTTTATTTTAATTTCATTCCACACAGAAATTTTCTTATATTTTAGTGATTTGATATTATATAAATTGCATTATTTGCAGTTATCTTGATATTTTGATTATTTTTCCATATTAATTGCGTTCAAATGAGCATAACGAGTGCAAATTTAATGCATTTTGTTGGTGAGCGCGGTTCGAACTTATGTCACATAGCTTATAATTTACTCACAATAAAATTAAAAATTCTTTTTCTTTTCAAACTAGTTACCAACTTTTATTAATTTAATTTATAAATATTTTTTTTAAATCTTTTAAAATAATTAATTGAAAAAATATTCAAAAAATAAATTGTTAAGAATAACAAAACTTTAAATATCAAAATTAGTAAAGTAAAGATGAGTAATAGTTACTTGTTTTGTTTAACGATGCAAACAAGAAGAGAAAAAAGAATCCAATTTAAATTTTTTTTTTGGCTTGTTTCAGTATAAGAAACGAATCTTTAAATATTCTGAATGAAATTTAACTTTCTATGAAAAAAAAATATTTTGCTTATTTTTTCTGTCATTTTTTCACTTAGTTTTACAAACAGAATATTAATGAGTTATAAAACAAAAAAAAAAAACAGAGAAATAAACAAGACAAAGAAAAGGAAAATACTTAAAATATCCTCATCAAGGTTGTTAAAACTATGAAAGACGAATATTTTTTCAAAAAATTATTTTTTAGAGCCTGTTAACATTTCAGAAAAATTTTAATAAATACAAAAAAGAAAAAGCATTTGACCATACTGCGTAACATTCCCATTGTGTTGATAATTTTTAATGTTTTTGAATTTTTTTGCAAAATATTTGGTAACAATCTCGAAAATTAATTAAATTGTTGCTATTAAATTGCTGTTGCTGTTGTACCGACATGAAAAATTGATCAATCGGGTCTTGTAGTCTCCCCTTTAAGAAACGGCAAAACATTTCTCCCTAGAGACCATAACGGAGAGCAATCTTCTATTATCATGTCGTCTGCCTTTGAATATTGAAAATAATTTTTCTATGTCTTTACTCTATAATTACAAAAAATTGTTTGTTAATATCGAGAAAACAAGAAACTAAGATATTAAACGAAAGATCAGCTCCTACCATTACATCTTTATTCAATAGAACCAAAATAAAATAAAATAAAAAATAATAAAAAAATCGTCTTCTGTCCATTTTCCTGTTACGTGATACGAATAAAATTTATTAATAAATAATACGATCTATGATTATAATAATTTTCTGCTTTTATATATATATATATATATATATATATATATATATATATATATGTGTGTGTGTTCAAAAATATACGATATAGGCTAATATGTTCTTAATATAACGGTTTGAATTTCGACTTTTTTATAATTTCCTATACATAAAATATTTAAAAGAATTCAAATAGAATAATAAAATTCGAATCATATACAATGTGTATTTACAGTTTTAAAAGAAAATATTTTCTATATAATATTATTTATTGAAAAATTAATATAATTAAGTAGAAAATGAATCGATTTTTGAAAATATTACAGTTATTTGAATATTATTTTTAATTTGAACATAATATTTTTAAATAAAAATTGTTATAATTTATTAACTGTTTTACATTTTTATGTAAAATATTATTTCAGATCACAAACAATGTGATCTGTGAGACTGAATTAAAACATTTTTATTTTAAATGTGAAATAATAGTCAATAAATAAAAAATATAACAGTATAACCGTGTATAACAGTATAAGAGTAGCCTCAAATTTTTTTTAAAGTTAAAATTCTGAAAATTTTTTAAATGTTTTGATTTAATAATTATATAATATCGAAAATAATATTGTTGTTATACAAAATTGTATTTACTATACTAGTAAATTAGTTACAGAGAAATTACTCAATTCCCTTATAACATTAATGTATCTGCTTTTTGTATTAAGATTCTAAAGCAGATGTTTTCTTCATAATATAACAAAAAATAAATGTTTCAAAGTAAGAATTTATTATATAATACCTATAAATATGTATAACAGTGCCAATAAATCTATCCTTAACAAAAAAAAAAAAAAATAAAAGAAAATAGGAAATTTTACTCAAATTATACAAAGTTATACTATATTTTTATTAAGATAAATATTGCAAAATTTTCAATTTTTGTCTGTCCCCAAAAGTTAAGAATTTTTTTTTTTAAACAAATGTAATGTTAGCCACCATTTAGCTTTTTCCCGCAATAAATTGGCGTATATAAGTATTAGTCTCAACAGCTCACTCCTTTATATATAACATTTTTACTTTTCCTATGCTTGGAAGTGTTATACAATCGGAGTGTTATACATTTACAGAGTTATATAATCCTATATACACTAAGGAGCATCTGAGAATTATTAGGCTAGAAAATAAATTCTACATTCTTAAGTTTGAAATATAAATTTATTGTCAAAATGCTACTAATTTGATAATATAACAATTTTTTGTTGTACATGCATAGAAAATATTATACGGTTATTGTTATAACGGTTAAAAATCACAAACTATTTTTTATTTACCATTTTTTACTTTTTTTTTATTTTTTTTTCAGGTAAATGCTGTACAAACTGGTGCTACTATGTATCAAGCAATGAGCTTAGCAATAACATGTTTATCGGAAATGTGGGATTGTATACCAGATGGTTTATATAAAATATGTATGTTGTTGTCAGAAATAGTACCTGTTGCAACAAAATGTTTAGGTGAATATTACCATATATACAATATTTTTTTTTATTTACTTTACTTCTATATTTTAGCTATAAAAATTTATGACTTACAACATTTTTATTTTTTTTTTTGTGTTACTGGTATGGTGTATATATAGAAATATTTTATGAGGAAGAAGAAATTTAATTTATGAATTATTAAACAAGTAATAATAAAAATTGTGATAATGCATATACAATGTACCTATTATTATTTATGTTCATAATATACTATAGAGATATAAGTACATAATTATGTACATATATAAGTTTATTCATATAGAAATTTATGTTTTATAAAATGAATTAAGTGTATATATATGTATGTAGGTGAAGAGAAATTCATGTGGAGTAAAATGTGTATATAAATAAAAATTATTATTATTTAAGGATTTATAGTAAATCATAAAAGGATATTGTATAGTAGTTTATTACATAATATTTTCTTTCTTAATATAATTATTAAGAATTTTAAGAGTAAAAGAGATTATAATAGAATAAATTTATATTTATACTTTTTCTACATATATGACTAACTTTTTAAAATACTTTTATTATTAAATTAACAATGGGTTATTAAACATTCAATTCAATTAAAATTACTTTAGTTAAGAGTTAATAGTTTAGTTATACAAAAAGAGTTTAGAAATAGATAGGAAATAATATAAAGGAAAATTTAATATAAAATAAGTAATAAAAAAATATGAGCAAAATATTATTTTAAAAATTATAATTGAATTATAATTGTTCATATTTTTATTAAAAATTAAGAGAAAATTTCCAGTTGCATTAACTATTTTTTTAAAATGAAATAAAAATAAATTTTACTGAGAAATCGTAGAAAGTATAAAATGAGAGAAAAACCAATTAGGTATGCTTAATTTTAAGGCTGTACTTTTACATTTTTAATAATTATATAAAGTTCAGTCATGCATTGATAATAATATAACAAAATGCTATAATAAATCAAAGTTCTAGAATATTAAATGTGTTCCAAGCATTGATTAATTCATCACATCCGCAGATTAAATTAAAAAAAAAAAGTTATACTTGTAATCGTTTTAGCCAAACTTGAGATACGGAATTGTAAGAGTAAAACGATTGACTTATTATACAGGCTAATAAATCGGCAAACCAATAAAATGATAGACCGATCAAAGTATCAACAGTTCTAACACAGAAAAATCCATTTGTGTTTAGTTAAAATTATATGAAATGTCATACACTTAAAATTCTTACCTTATTGTTGAAATACAATTGCTTATATATTAAAAGCATTAAAAAATATAATTTAAATAATTTTCAAAAATTAAAATTTGAATTGCTATATTAAGTTGAATTAAAGTTTATTATTGTTTTAATAATAAAAAATTAATTTTCGATTAAAATTATAATAGAAAAATAAAAATTAAAATAGAAATTAAAATATTTTACTCTCCCAATAGAACAAAAACTTTTCACGTATTTTTTTTTAGATAATTTTCTCTTTATATAACATTGAAATAAAATATAATGAAAGAAGCATTTAACAAATTGTCTTTTAATTGAGATTTGTGAATGAAAATGAAATAAAATCTCTACAAGAAGAAGGAAAAAAAAATAAAATAAAAGAAAATAGGAAAAAAAGAACAAAGTTTTCCAGCACGTGTCTATATATTTAAGTTCTATTATCATTATCCTTATACAAAAACGTGAATTCATTTTTATTTTTCATATTGTAGGGTTAATGTAGGGCATACAAAATTTATTTATTCGTTTTGAATTTTCAAATGAATATCTTAATATGTATGTATGTTTATTTATCTTGTAGTTGATTTTGTAGTTAATATTTTAGGAAATATTGAATTAAATGTAATAAGGAAGTTTTATTCAATCTCTATGATAAATCAATAGGCGAATTTTTTATTTTTACTCTTGAATTTTCATGCTCCCCTTGAATACTTAGTTACTTAGATAATTAATACCCTATTTGCAAAATTTTTACAATTCCGTCATTTAATTTTATATTACCCTATTGTTTTAATTATTAAAATATTTTTAAGTAATTTAATTTTTTAATAATATTTAAAAATTTTCTTATCTTATTGTAGGTGATTCTGTTCTTATTCAAATTTTGTTTGCTGCTCTTTATACAAAACTTCTGGAAATGGCATTAAATGAGGAGAAAAATTCGAATGAAGGTATGAATATTTATATGAATGTATTTTTAAATATAAATAAATATATTTGAATATGGATATAGAATTACAATTTACAAGGAAAACGTAGACGGAAAATCTTTAATAGTCTCATAATTATTAAGATTTTCTTGTAATCTTCTCACATCTTAATTTGAATTTTCATTTTAAATAATTTTTAATTCTTATTATACTTTTTCTCTTTATTATGTTTTTCTTACTTTTCCAATTGAAATGAAAAAAAAGTCTCAGAAAGTCATAATATTGAATCACAAAATCCATCAAAAGCATCAATATGTCATTCATTATGTGAAGCAATATGTTCTTTAGATGAAGATAATAAGCATACAGAACAATTAAAATTATTTTTAAAACAAATAAAAGAAAGTAAAAATGTTAAATTTACTGTATTGAATAGAGCAAATTATAATATTGGTGGTGGTGGCGGTGCTGGTGGTGGTGAAGAACAAACTGGTCTAAGTGGTGTTAGTACAGTTAAAATTGAAGATTTAAATGGTATAGATGATGATGATGAAGATGATAATCGTAATGATAATAATATACATGATTCATTAAGTAGTTCTTGTGTTGATGAATTTGATGTTGAAAGTACTGATTATATAGCAGAATTACTTGTTAGTGATATAATAACATTGAATACTGGAAAACAATGCTTAAAGGTAAATAAATTTTAATATTTATAAATTATAATTTAAGATATAGAAGAAACCATTTTTTATTACACGAATTTACAGATACGAAAATTGTTGCGAAATATTGCTTTTCAAAATTAATGAAATGTTAATTTAAGGTAAATTATTTTTAATTTCCGTTCTCCTTCTAAATGCTCCAGACCGATCTCATTACTTTTAAAATTAATTATATTTAAATCTTAAGATAGGACTTTGTTATTTTTTTAAACAATCCTTATGAAACCATTTTATAATATTTAATATTTATATTATGGGATCAGCATAATTAGAAGGCGACCGACCTTGTTCCCAATTGTATATTTTATGAGTTCTTAATAAGTGCCACGTGTGTATTTATAAATGTACACTAAATCCTTAATTTACATAATTTTGTTTTTGTAAAATATTATACCCTAAAAAAGGAACTAAAAAACTCTTGTTAATTTTTCTCAAAAATTGAAATAATAATTTACCTTGGTTAGACATTCATTAAAAATTGAAAAAGGACATTTTTTTTTTCTTTCATTTAATTTTTAACAAAATTTTACTTATTTTTTTCTTTCTATCGTTTTAAATGCCGTTCTTTTATATAAAAAGATGTGCTTTAATTATTTAAAAAGTAATAAAGAATGGATTTTACAACAACTTGGTGTTAGTTCTTTAGAAACGAATGAATTTCAACCATTACCAGGACAAAAAATTCAAGAAGATGAACAGCCATTATTAAAAACAATGTTTTATATTGGATTAACGCCTTTTGATCAGGTGAGTATTTAAAATAATAAATTTTAAAAAGGATTTTTATTTTTTTATTTAATTTTTTTATTCTTTCTTTTATATACCTCCTTTTATTTTATATATATACAATGTACATTCATTAAAATATTATTTTATTCATGTTTTTTATTTTTATTGTATTTGTAGCTTTTAACTGGTGGATTAAAAATTGATTATGCACTTTGGCTTTCAATGCCAATGTCCTTGACACCAGAACGTGCTTGGATTCAAATATCACATCGTAGTGAATTTCAAGAAAATACAAAATTACCATTACATGATGCTGCAATGGTAGCTGGTATTACTTCAAATTTAAAATGTTAAATAAAAAAAGAAAGTGATTTTTGTTATTACTTTCCATAAAAATGGAAACTAAATATTGAAAGAAATAGAAAAAATTGTATTTTTAAAAGAATAATTATGCTAAAAATGAAAAGAAAAAGAAAAGGAGGTTTTAAAAATTTTGTAGTTGTAAAGTTTTTAAGTGTTTCTTGCTTTTTCTTTTGAAAAATTTAAAAAGAAAATAAATTAAATTGTACTTTGATAGAAAGGAAGTATTACGATTATGTATTTGTTTTTTTTTTTTTTGTAATGTTAAATGAAAAATGTTAAATTTAAATGAAAATGTTAAGACTTTAACAGATTTTTTTTAAATGAAATTAATTATAATAAATTTATGGTAAAGAAATGTTTTGTAATGTAGCACACTAAAATTAATAACAATTTATATTGAAAAGCTTGAAACTTACATTGTTCTTGGCTTTGAAGTAAAAGCATTAAAAATAATTAGAAAACTGTTCATGTAAAATAAGAAAATTCATTATGCTTGACAATTTTTAGGAAATAAGTAGAAAAGGTCTTTCACTTAGTAACTACTAACACAAATAACTATTAACTAAAGTTTGTTTTAAAATATTTAATTGCTCTAAAATAATTTTCTTAATGCAAGAGTTAATTTGTTATTTTTTTTTTAATTTTCTTTCAGAAAGAAAGCCATGCTATAATTTTGAAAAAAAAATGTAGAACCATTAAAATCAATAATTGAAATTAATAATTTTAAGATTATAATTACAATAATAATTTTGTGCAAAATTAGAATCAATCAATATTGATAATAATTTGATAATAATAGAAAATAAGTTTTATTTGATCCCATCTTTTCTCAATCATTTTTAATATGATTAATTAGATTAAGATTAATTTTTTATTATGTCTTATATTCATACAATATTTTTTAAACTTTATTTAAAAAATTCGTTTTCTTAATTTTTTGTAAATTATAATATTTTGTTTAATGATTTATAGTATATTTATATTTTATATTGCAATTATTTGTTCAAAATTTTCAATAATCTTATAATAATTTAGTATTAACGATTAATTCCAATACTTTAGTATTATACAATTATTTTACATAAAAATCGTATACCTTATAATATTTCAAAAATTTAGATTTAAATAAGTTATAACCTTTTTAATCTTTATTATCATTATTAACTTTTTTGTGATTTACAGTCAAATTTTAAGTTCAATGTAAAAAATCCTTAAAATTGAACTCATCGTTCAATTCTATAATCAAGAATAACTGTATTATTTTTTTATAAAATTTTTTTGCAAAGGTTTTTTACCTTTGAAAGAATTTTCCTTAAAGAAAATATGGAAATTTATTTTTTGGGAATCACATAACCTAATAATTATATTATAAAAATAAAAAATAATTGCAACATTTCTCATTTGCCCTTATTTTTTATTCTTGGAAAGAATTTTTAAAGGAATTTTATATTATGAAGCTAAGTAGTGCTCTTTAATACGTTAGACAAGTTAAATTGAGTTGAGTTGTTTGAATTCGAAGATTTTTCAAAAAAAAAAAAAATGAAAATAATTTTGATTTCTTTAATTTTTTTTGGAGAATAAAAGAAGAGAAAGAAAATGGAAAATAGAAAAATAAACTGAACTTTTAAAAAAAAGGATATTTGTAAGAAGATTATTATATATCCTTTAATTTGCATAACATAAGAATATGCTAAAGTATATTTGAAAGGATTTCTTCCGTTTCTCAATTTTTATATCTATCTCATTCTCTCTCACAATTTTGGACGAATATTATAATATTTTGAAATATTTTTAATCTGTTTTTTCTTGTAGTTTTTTTTTGTATTTTTGAGTTTATTTCACTTAAAATATAATTTTATGATATCATGAACCTTCTTTTATTATATGCCCAGTTTATTATTTGGGACGAAAAAATAAATGTTCTTTTTAGACTAATAAAAATTCTATATTTTTTTTTTTTCCTAAAAAGAGAGAGAGTAAAAAGTCAAAAAATTATTGTAGGAAATTTGGAAAGTTTTATAATATGGTCGCTTTAAGGTTTTTATATTCAATCATTTTTATACAACATAAATTAAAAGGATATCCTTTATAATAAAAAGATAACCCTGTATAAATTACCTATTTTTTTAGTTATTTTAGTTACTACATAATAAAAAAATAAGATCATACCAATTGAAAGGTGTGCAATGAAATATTATTTGGTATAGTTTGACCTGTGCAAATTATTATTGCCCATAAAATTGTTTTCCTCTTTAGCTTCAATTTTTAATGGAATGTCATTTTAGTTAAAAAAAATATGCTATAATTTTTTTGAATTATTGGAAAAAATCAATTTTTTATGATATGTAGTTAGATTTTAATCAGATTTTTTATACGAAATTATTATATGATTTTTGCCGTAAACTATTTTGTTTGCCCATAAAATACTAATTTTGCTATTAGGTTTGAAAATTTTCATTTATGACGAATAATTGGTTTTAGAAATATTTCCTCAATAGCCTATTTTTGGCTATATTACAGTTCCTTTAAAAAATTTTCTAATAATTATCCGAAAATTTTGAGATGAAAATCTGAAAAGATTAATGGAGAAGATAATTCAACACTTTATGTGAATAAATAATATTAACTAAATCCCTTCTAATAGTATGGATACAAAAAATTTGTTATTATTTTTAAAATTATTATAAAAATTATTAAAAAATAATCCATAATTTGTATTTTAGTTATATTGAAGCAAACAATAATGTAAGCGAACAAAAGGAATCGGCTGGAGAGTAATAATTGAAGCACAATGCGAGTACAGTTTATTAGAAAAGTTATCATTTCCCGGTAGTTTCAGTTTTCGTTAATATTATAGATTTAAATATAATATTCAAATAGGTATGTATTTACATGAATATACTTAATTAGAACAAAATTATTCACAATAATTATTAAAATTTTAGATGCAGTACATATAGTCGATATTAATCAGTAGATAAAACTGGGTGACGTAGGTGCGTGTTCCATTACTATATTATAATAACTTAAATGTCCTTTTCATTCATTATCAACTCCAAAAATTTTTTTTCTATTACAACGTATACATATGTATATACATATTTTGTGTAACCTTTAATAAAATATCCTTTTTAACCTCCGTTGTCATGAACAACAGAAAAATTCTAAAAAAAAACATATTTAAATTAACTATTTTATCCTTTAAAGGGATTGCATATTTTTAATTGAAAATTATTTTAATTTCTCATTGTTATTATAAAAAATATATATATATATATGTATGCGGATTCTGTATATGGTTACTAATGTCCAGTATTTCATCAAGCCCATGTAATATTATATACATTCTGAAAGGAATTATGCTTTGATATTTGCATAATATATATGTATGTAGGTATAGATATAGTTTTATAGTTTACGACCAGCATTAAAATAATTTAGCCTTCTGGTTTTAAAATATAACAATGACAAACTTTATAATATTATCTATATTACTATGGTAGTATATGGAGACGCACTACAATATTGCTCATACATAATGAAAAATATTAAAATGAAAATATATGCAGAGTACTAATAGTTGAAGTGAAACTAGTATTGTGCATTATCCTTTTACATACTCGTATAAGTATATAAAAAAAGGAATGTTTGCTGATCTCCTAAGTTGCAATAATTCATCATAATTAAGTTTTAACTTTTTTTTTTGTTTTATGCTCTTTAAAACTTTGTATACCTTCATTTTAAATGTTGTAAGACTATAAAATAATTATAACGTGGTAACTAAGTATAACAGTAGTTCTTGTTCAAGATTATAAATTAAGTGAATTAAAAAAAAAGTTTTGTAAAAATAAGCAGAAAATGAAATTGAAACTTAAGTATGAAGTTAAATTAAAAGTAAACAGAAAATGTTTTATATAAAAATGTATGAAAGGTTTAAAAGATCACTTATGAAATGAAAAATTCATAAATTTTTAGTAAAATAGAATAAAAGTCGGAATTCTGTAAGAAGCTCAGATTTTAATCTAAATTTAATAGATTTAAAATTTTGTCGCTTCATACTATCTAGTGTAATATCTGTCGGATATTACATTAGGCAGCATGAAGCGAGAAGGTCGCATAAGAAAAACAAATCAATTCGAAAATACAATTTGTAAATTCCATTATAACCCATAATAATATTTAAATTGAAGCAACATTTTATAGGAATTATTTTAAAAATTTTAAAGAAAAATAAAATTTAATCTTTATATCATTGAATTTTTAGCAAAATTTAATATTGAATTTTAAATTTATTGTAAATTCTAGATTTTAATAAAATTTTAAATAATTTCATTTTAGTGGATTCAAATTTTGTTGGAAAGAAGGATAAAAATAGACAGAAGCTTTAAGAAGTGAAAATTTTAGAAAAAATGCATAAGGCATTGAAAATTTGAATTCAACTAAAAATCGGATGATATTAAAAATAATTGCAGTTAAAATTTGAGGAATATGCCGGCTGTTTGATGATTCTGAGACTTAAAAATGACTGAAAGATGTAAGAATTGTAAGAAAAAGAATAATATTTTGAAAATATGGAGATTTTCTGATAGTTCGGGTACTAAAGAACAAAAATGATCTAAGAGATGCGGTAAGTAATTTCTTAATTTTCTTTGAAATTCCAACAATATTGATAATTTTTATAAATTGTTTTGTTAATTTTAATATTTTAAAAGTACAAAAAAAAATTGCAATATTGTAATTTATGTTGCGAAAACATTCAAGTTGCATATTTTTAACCTTTTTTATTCATAACTAAAAGCAAAAAGGAAAAATCTGTGTGCTGACTTGTTAAAAATGAATTTAAATAATTTCTTCCGTATCATAGCAATAACATAATCTCACCTTAAGCCAATTACCTTTTTAGTATTTCCTATTCGAATATGTTTATTATCCTTTTTGTTTTTTTTTTTGTGTGTACCTTTCTTGTCCTTGTATAATAAAATTACAACTAA